CACGCCTTCAAGTGGCGCGACTACTGCCCCGCCGCCTTCAGGTTGGTTTGATTTCCGTGTTATTGCCTCCCCTTCTTCCTGCTTCCCCCCGGCCGGCTCACCCACCACACCGCCGCACTCCATGCACGCCTTCAAGTGGCGCGACTACTGCCCCGCCGTCTTCAGGTTGGTGTGATTTCCGTGTTATTGCCTCCCCTTCTTCCTGCTTCCCCCCGGCCGGCTCACCCACCACACCGCCGCACTCCATGCACGCCTTCAAGTGGCGCGACTACTGCCCCGCCGCCTTCAGGTTGGTTTGATTTCCGTGTTATTGCCTCCCCTTCTTCCTGCTTCCCCCCGGCCGGCTCACCCACCACACCGCCGCACTCCATGCACGCCTTCAAGTGGCGCGACTACTGCCCCGCCGCCTTCAGGTTGGTTTGATTTCCGTGTTATTGCCTCCCCTTCTTCCTGCTTCCCCCCCGGCCGGCTCACCCACCACACCGCCGCACTCCATGCACGCCTTCAAGTGGCGCGACTACTGCCCCGCCGCCTTCAGGTTGGTTTGATTTCCGTGTTATTGCCTCCCCTTCTTCCTGCTTCCCCCCGGCCGGCTCACCCACCACACCGCCGCACTCCATGCACGCCTTCAAGTGGCGCGACTACTGCCCCGCCGCCTTCAGGTTGGTTTGATTTCCGTGTTATTGCCTCCCCTTCTTCCTGCTTCCCCCCGGCCGGCTCACCCACCACACCGCCGCACTCCATGCACGCCTTCAAGTGGCGCGACTACTGCCCCGCCGTCTTCAGGTTTGTTTGATTTCCGTGTTATTGCCTCCCCTTCTTCCTGCTTCCCCCCCGGCCGGCTCACCCACCACACCGCCGCACTCCATGCACGCCTTCAAGTGGCGCGACTACTGCCCCGCCGCCTTCAGGTTGGTTTGATTTCCGTGTTATTGCCTCCCCTTCTTCCTGCTTCCCCCCGGCCGGCTCACCCACCACACCGCCGCACTCCATGCACGCCTTCAAGTGGCGCGACTACTGCCCCGCCGCCTTCAGGTTGGTTTGATTTCCGTGTTATTGCCTCCCCTTCTTCCTGCTTCCCCCCGGCCGGCTCACCCACCACACCGCCGCACTCCATGCACGCCTTCAAGTGGCGCGACTACTGCCCCGCCGCCTTCAGGTTGGTTTGATTTCCGTGTTATTGCCTCCCCTTCTTCCTGCTTCCCCCCGGCCGGCTCACCCACCACACCGCCGCACTCCATGCACGCCTTCAAGTGGCGCGACTACTGCCCCGCCGCCTTCAGGTTGGTGTGATTTCCGTGTTATTGCCTCCCCTTCTTCCTGCTTCCCCCCGGCCGGCTCACCCACCACACCGCCGCACTCCATGCACGCCTTCAAGTGGCGCGACTACTGCCCCGCCGCCTTCAGGTTGGTTTGATTTCCGTGTTATTGCCTCCCCTTCTTCCTGCTTCCCCCCGGCCGGCTCACCCACCACACCGCCGCACTCCATGCACGCCTTCAAGTGGCGCGACTACTGCCCCGCCGCCTTCAGGTTGGTTTGATTTCCGTGTTATTGCCTCCCCTTCTTCCTGCTTCCCCCCCGGCCGGCTCACCCACCACACCGCCGCACTCCATGCACGCCTTCAAGTGGCGCGACTACTGCCCCGCCGCCTTCAGGTTGGTTTGATTTCCGTGTTATTGCCTCCCCTTCTTCCTGCTTCCCCCCCGGCCGGCTCACCCACCACACCGCCGCACTCCATGCACGCCTTCAAGTGGCGCGACTACTGCCCCGCCGCCTTCAGGTTGGTTTGATTTCCGTGTTATTGCCTCCCCTTCTTCCTGCTTCCCCCCGGCCGGCTCACCCACCACACCGCCGCACTCCATGCACGCCTTCAAGTGGCGCGACTACTGCCCCGCCGTCTTCAGGTTTGTTTGATTTCCGTGTTATTGCCTCCCCTTCTTCCTGCTTCCCCCCGGCCGGCTCACCCACCACACCGCCGCACTCCATGCACGCCTTCAAGTGGCGCGACTACTGCCCCGCCGCCTTCAGGTTGGTTTGATTTCCGTGTTATTGCCTCCCCTTCTTCCTGCTTCCCCCCCGGCCGGCTCACCCACCACACCGCCGCACTCCATGCACGCCTTCAAGTGGCGCGACTACTGCCCCGCCGCCTTCAGGTTGGTTTGATTTCCGTGTTATTGCCTCCCCTTCTTCCTGCTTCCCCCCGGCCGGCTCACCCACCACACCGCCGCACTCCATGCACGCCTTCAAGTGGCGCGACTACTGCCCCGCCGCCTTCAGGTTGGTTTGATTTCCGTGTTATTGCCTCCCCTTCTTCCTGCTTCCCCCCGGCCGGCTCACCCACCACACCGCCGCACTCCATGCACGCCTTCAAGTGGCGCGACTACTGCCCCGCCGCCTTCAGGTTGGTTTGATTTCCGTGTTATTGCCTCCCCTTCTTCCTGCTTCCCCCCGGCCGGCTCACCCACCACACCGCCGCACTCCATGCACGCCTTCAAGTGGCGCGACTACTGCCCCGCCGCCTTCAGGTTGGTTTGATTTCCGTGTTATTGCCTCCCCTTCTTCCTGCTTCCCCCCCGGCCGGCTCACCCACCACACCGCCGCACTCCATGCACGCCTTCAAGTGGCGCGTCTACTGCCCCGCCGCCTTCAGGTTGGTTTGATTTCCGTGTTATTGCCTCCCCTTCTTCCTGCTTCCCCCCGGCCGGCTCACCCACCACACCGCCGCACTCCATGCACGCCTTCAAGTGGCGCGACTACTGCCCCGCCGCCTTCAGGTTGGTTTGATTTCCGTGTTATTGCCTCCCCTTCTTCCTGCTTCCCCCCCGGCCGGCTCACCCACCACACCGCCGCACTCCATGCACGCCTTCAAGTGGCGCGACTACTGCCCCGCCGCCTTCAGGTTGGTTTGATTTCCGTGTTATTGCCTCCCCTTCTTCCTGCTTCCCCCCGGCCGGCTCACCCACCACACCGCCGCACTCCATGCACGCCTTCAAGTGGCGCGACTACTGCCCCGCCGCCTTCAGGTTGGTTTGATTTCCGTGTTATTGCCTCCCCTTCTTCCTGCTTCCCCCCGGCCGGCTCACCCACCACACCGCCGCACTCCATGCACGCCTTCAAGTGGCGCGACTACTGTCCCGCCGCCTTCAGGTTGGTTTGATTTCCGTGTTATTGCCTCCCCTTCTTCCTGCTTCCCCCCGGCCGGCTCACCCACCACACCGCCGCACTCCATGCACGCCTTCAAGTGGCGCGTCTACTGCCCCGCCGCCTTCAGGTTGGTTTGATTTCCGTGTTATTGCCTCCCCTTCTTCCTGCTTCCCCCCGGCCGGCTCACCCACCACACCGCCGCACTCCATGCACGCCTTCAAGTGGCGCGACTACTGCCCCGCCGCCTTCAGGTTGGTTTGATTTCCGTGTTATTGCCTCCCCTTCTTCCTGCTTCCCCCCGGCCGGCTCACCCACCACACCGCCGCACTCCATGCACGCCTTCAAGTGGCGCGACTACTGCCCCGCCGCCTTCAGGTTGGTTTGATTTCCGTGTTATTGCCTCCCCTTCTTCCTGCTTCCCCCCGGCCGGCTCACCCACCACACCGCCGCACTCCATGCACGCCTTCAAGTGGCGCGACTACTGCCCCGCCGCCTTCAGGTTGGTTTGATTTCCGTGTTATTGCCTCCCCTTCTTCCTGCTTCCCCCCGGCCGGCTCACCCACCACACCGCCGCACTCCATGCACGCCTTCAAGTGGCGCGACTACTGCCCCGCCGCCTTCAGGTTGGTTTGATTTCCGTGTTATTGCCTCCCCTTCTTCCTGCTTCCCCCCGGCCGGCTCACCCACCACACCGCCGCACTCCATGCACGCCTTCAAGTGGCGCGACTACTGCCCCGCCGCCTTCAGGTTGGTTTGATTTCCCTGTTATTGCCTCCCCTTCTTCCTGCTTCCCCCCCGGCCGGCTCACCCACCACACCGCCGCACTCCATGCACGCCTTCAAGTGGCGCGACTACTGCCCCGCCGCCTTCAGGTTGGTTTGATTTCCGTGTTATTGCCTCCCCTTCTTCCTGCTTCCCCCCGGCCGGCTCACCCACCACACCGCCGCACTCCATGCACGCCTTCAAGTGGCGCGACTACTGCCCCGCCGCCTTCAGGTTGGTTTGATTTCCGTGTTATTGCCTCCCCTTCTTCCTGCTTCCCCCCCGGCCGGCTCACCCACCACACCGCCGCACTCCATGCACGCCTTCAAGTGGCGCGACTACTGCCCCGCCGCCTTCAGGTTGGTTTGATTTCCGTGTTATTGCCTCCCCTTCTTCCTGCTTCCCCCCGGCCGGCTCACCCACCACACCGCCGCACTCCATGCACGCCTTCAAGTGGCGCGACTACTGCCCCGCCGCCTTCAGGTTGGTTTGATTTCCGTGTTATTGCCTCCCCTTCTTCCTGCTTCCCCCCGGCCGGCTCACCCACCACACCGCCGCACTCCATGCACGCCTTCAAGTGGCGCGACTACTGCCCCGCCGCCTTCAGGTTGGTTTGATTTCCGTGTTATTGCCTCCCCTTCTTCCTGCTTCCCCCCGGCCGGCTCACCCACCACACCGCCGCACTCCATGCACGCCTTCAAGTGGCGCGACTACTGCCCCGCCGCCTTCAGGTTGGTTTGATTTCCGTGTTATTGCCTCCCCTTCTTCCTGCTTCCCCCCGGCCGGCTCACCCACCACACCGCCGTACTCCATGCACGCCTTCAAGTGGCGCGACTACTGCCCCGCCGCCTTCAGGTCCACTCATAGCTTTGCTCTGTCCTAGAGTCCCCACTTCTTCCACCTTCCCGTTCGCACTTGGTCTTTCCTCCCGTCTCACCATATCTTCCCTCTCACACACCCCCATCCGCCAGGGCCCTACGAGCCATGTTTGGCATAGACCCGGGGGACTACATGGTGTCGATGTGCCTTCCCATACTCTCTCTCGTTGCGCCTTCTCACTCCCTCTTCACCCCGTCTCCCCCTGTTCTCTCAGGGCACTGCGCGCCATGTTTGGCATAGACCCGGGAGACTATATGGTGTCGCTGTGCGGGGATGACGCGCTGAGGGAGCTGAGCAGCCCGGGCAAGTCGGGCAGCGTCTTCTTCCTCTCGCATGACGACCGCTTCCTCATCAAAACCATGCGCAGCTCCGAGCTGCAGGTGCGTGGGGTCACCTGCAGGTGACCTGCAGGTGAGCTGCAGGTGAGCTGCAGGTGAGCTGCAGGTGCGTGGGGTGACCTGCAGGTGAGCTGCAGGTGACCTGCAGGTGAGCTGCAGGTGGGGTAGAGACAGGGGCAGGGCAAGTTGCTGGGTGCATGGCAGCGTCTTCTTCCTCTCGCACAACGACCGCTTTCTCATAAAACCATGCGCAGCGCCGAGCTGCAAGTGGGTAGGCTGACCTGCAGGTGGGCACAGATATGGGCAGGTCAAGTTGCTGGGTGCATGGGAGCATGATGGGGAGGGTCAAGTTCATGCTGGCGCATCCCATGCCATCCCCAATCCCACTCCCTTCTCTTTCCACCCCACCCCCCATCCCCATCCCCGCTCCCCTCCCCCAGGTGCTGCTGCGCATGCTCCCCGCCTACTACCGCCACGTGAAGCACAACGCACACACGCTGCTCACCAAGTTCTTCGGCCTGCACGCCATCAAGATCTACCACACCGCCTCCTCGCGCACCACCTCCCGCCTCGCCGCCAAGGCGGGCGGGCGCGAGTCAGTCATCCGCTTCGTGGTGATGGCCAACCTGCTGGTGTCGCCGCTGCGCGTGCACCGGCGGTTCGACCTCAAGGGGTCGTCGCAGGGGCGCAGCACGGGCAAGGTGGCCGTGGATGACACCACCACGCTCAAGGACCTTGATCTCGACCTTGCGTTTCTGCTCCACCCGCCCTGGCGTCCCCTGCTGCTGCAGTAAGTGCGCTGCTTGTTGTAGTTCGTCTTGAGGTGCCTCAAAAATCCCAATAGCCCCAATAGTCCCAATAGTCCCAATAGCCCCATCTCAATCATTCCTGCCTCTCCTCCCCCCTCAATGCAGGCAGATAGCAGCAGACTGTGCGTTCCTGGAGCAGCAGCACATAATGGATTACAGCCTGCTGCTGGGGGTGCACTTCAAGGCCACAGGACCCCCGCCCGCCCCCATCGTCACCATCACCGATGCACACCTTGACGGCCCAAGCCCCGTCTCTGTCCAACCCGCCGCAGCACCGCATGGGAGCAGTGCCACTGCTGTCAGCACCATGTCTGCAGGTAACTCCTGAGGCTGCTTAATCGTCATTTCCACTCCACTTTGCATGGCATGTTGACAAGTTTTTGAAGTGTGTGTGTGTGCGGTGTTGTGCATGTGGTGCATGCGTGGCCCCACCTCAGAGAGGGAGCAAGGGCTCGTGAGCCAAGCAGGTGCAGCGGGCGGGCAGAGTGAGGTGCGGGATGGGGGAGGCGGGGAGGACACGCAGCAGCCCCAGCAGGGCCAACAGGCGGCATGTGAGAGTGACGCGGCTGCAGCCTCACGAAGGCTGAATGTTCCCCCGCCCCTGCACCAGGTGTGCCCTGCACCAGGTGTGCCCTGCTCCAGGTGTGCCCTGCTCCAGGTGTGCCCTGCACCAGGTCTGCCATTGCCCACTTCCCCGCCCTCCCAAACCACTCTTCCACATTCTCTCCCTCATTCACTAGTTTTTGCAATTTCTGTCTTAATTGCTGTGTTTTGTCCTCTGCCCTGTCGTCTCTTTCCCCCTCTCTCCCCTCCCTCCTCTCACCTCCGCCGACCTCTCTCCCTGAAACTCCGCTTCTTTGTTCCCTTCCCGTCCCCCTCTCTTCTTCTCCCCTTTTTCCCCCCCTTATCAGCTGAGGAGGCGTCTATTCCGCCCATGGCAGCGCATTCTCACGGACTCTCCCTCTCCTCTGCAGAGATCTCTGGGGGACCCTGGCCGAGGAGGCACATCATCCTCTCACACCTCCCCTTCTCACGCCTCCCCCTCTCACACCTCCCCTTCTCACGCCTCCCCCTCTCACGCCTCCTCTTCTCACACCTCCCCCTCCCACACATCACCATCCCATGCCGGTGCCACGGCTGCTACTACTGCCACCACTGCCTCTCCAGCCGCTGCTGCCACCACCCGTGCCGCCACAGTGCGGCACTTCTTCCCGCGCTCGCTCACGGCAGGCAGCGGCGGCAGCAGCCCACTGCACCTGCTGGCGCCCTCCTTCCCCCACTCGCACTCCCTCACCACCGACGAGAGCAGCGTGGACGAGGGTAGTGCGGAGGGGAGTAGCAGCTGTGGCGTGGTGGAGGGGGACGGGAGGGCATGCAGTGACGAGGAGGCGTTGGGCCCAGCTGATGATCGCGCTGGTGATGGTGCTGCTGCTAGTGGCCAGGATGGGTGCAGTAGGAGGACCAGCAGCAGCAGCAGCAGCAATTGCAAGAGCAGCAGCAGCAGCAGTGCATGGAGCAACCATGGCAACACGCACAGCACCAACCAGGACAGCACGCACGGCAGGGCCAGCAACAATGCCAATGGCCGCCGCCATCCCACACCCCCCCGTATTCCACCCTTGTCCCGCCTTCCTCCCCACTCTCCTGTTTCTGCCTCTGCCCCTCCTCCTGCCCCAGCTCCGACCCCCGCCTCCGCCTCAGCGTATCCCTCTCCGCCTCTCTCCTCCTCCCCCTCCCCTTGTGCTGTGGGTGCGGGAGCAAGGGCGGCAACTGGGACAGACGGCAAGACTGCAGGTGCAGCAGGGGCGGTGGTGGGGCAGGCTTCACCAGGGGAGAAAACAGCCGGACGTGGAGGAGGAGCAGTGGCAGCAGCAGCAGGACGGGGAGGAGGGGGAGGGGGGGGGAAGGGGAGGGGGGTGGTGGGGCAGCTGTTGGGGCAGGGCATGGGGGGCACGGCAGTGAGGGTGGACAGGCGCACTCGCAGGGCCGTGCAGGACCCGCTGCTGGGGGAGGCGTATGAGGTGCTGCTGCACTTCGGTATCATCGACATCCTGCAGGTGTGGTGCCCTGTGGTGCAGTGCGGTGCAGGTGGGTGGTTTGGTGCATGTGAGGGGTGTGGTATGGTGCAGTTACCTTCAAATCGGTTCAGAAGTTGTCTTGCTGCTGCGGGAAGCGCATTATGAGGTGCTGCTGTGCTGCACTTGGGTATCATCGACATTCTGCAGGCAGGCCGTGTGGTGCACGTGTACAAGAGCCTGCAGTTTGACTTTGTAGTTGACTTGAAAGTCAACCATGTGACCCAACCCCAAATGCCCTTCTGCACCCACCGTCCCCCTCCATCCTCAACCAGGAGTACGATGTGGGCAAGAGGGGGGAGCACATGTACAGGAGCCTGCCTGCAGTACAACTTTCTTGTTAAGTGACCCAACTCCCAACGCCCCTATGCACTCACCACCCACCTGCAGGAGTACGATGTGGGCAAGCGTGTGGAGCACGTGTACAAGAGCCTGCAGTATGAGCAACCTTTCCCCTTGCTCTCTCCTATCTCGCCCAACCCCACCATCCCCACCTGCAGGAGTATGACGTGGGCAAGCGTGTGGAGCACGTGGTGAAGAGTCTGCAGTACGACGGGCACTCCATCTCTGCAGTCAACCCCTCGCTCTACGCTCGCCGCTTCCGCTCCTTCATCCTCTCCACCTTCCCCGACCCCCTCCACCCCCACGCCTCCCATCCCGATGCTCCCGATGCTGATGCTGCTCACGGCAACTGCACTGCTGATGGTGGTGCTGGTGATGGGGATGATGGTGATGCTGATGATGGTGATGGTGGTAACGGTAATGGCAGTGATGGTGATGGTGGTGATGATGGTGATGGCTATGGTGATTTTCTTCTTGCCTCTCCCGCGGGAGGTGTTCGGGCGACGTGCAGCATTTTCCAGCTGTCTCACTTCTAGTGGCACGCGAGACACACTGAGCAACACATTCCATTTATTATTAATTGTACAATATCGGTACGCTAAAGGCATGCCTGCTGCACGCAGTGCAACCTGTACAAAAATGTACCCATGAAATATCCCACCAAACACGATACTAAAATAATCAAACCACTTGCAGCCCTTTACTCCGGGGCCCTGGAAATTCCACTCATGGCCACGTGTAGGCGAGCTGGTGCTGCCTGCAAGGATACTTACGGTAGAGTATCACGGCTGGCCCAGCTGGTGGCACTGGGGGCATGTACAGGTGAGCTGGTGCTGCAGCAGAGTGGCCTCCAGCTCCCTGTGCTGCGCTTTCAGCTGCTCCACATACGCCACGGCGCCATCCAGCATCGCTGCCATGTCCCCCCTCCCCCTCACTGTTTGCCTCAGCCTCTGCAGCTCCTGACTGCGTGCGTTCGAACGGGAAAGAGGGAAGGGGGGAGGCAGGGGAGGAGGCAGCGCAATAATGAATGATGGGAAGGGGGATGAGGGGGTGATGTGTGCACGCCTGTCAGGTGGACGTTATGCAAGATGGAGAAGTAGCAATGGGGGCTCGGTGCGGGTAGGAGCATGGAAGGGTTGAGGTAAAGGACCAAGGGAGGGGGGCAGGAGGAAGAGTGGTTGTGGAACGTGGAGTGGAGGTGCATCTGGTGGGGGTCGTACCTGATTCGCTCCCTCCGCTCTTTCTCCACCACACTCTTGTTCTTGCCGCGCCCACCAGACGAACCCGAACCTCCCACTCCTCCTCCCCCCTCTCCCAGTACTTCCATCCCCGACATGTCTCCTGTTTCTGTCCCTCCCTCCGCCTCCGCGCCCACCTCCGCCCCTGCTGCTGCGTGTCCCTCTGCAGACCCCCCAGACCCACTTGGCACCGGCGCTGTGTGCAACTCGGCAAGTGGGCCGCCTGTGCCGTGGGCGGCAAGGGGGGTGTCTGCTTGCACGGGGGCCATGTCACCCCCATGCACCATGCCACCGCTCCATGCTGCTCCCATGGGATGACCACCCGAGGGGCCCACCGCGCTCAGGGGGTCCCCACTTGTACCATGCGCAGTCATGAAGTGTGCAGCCATGGGGTTCACGGCCGTACCGTGCGCATGTATGGGGGGTGGAGCGCCCATGAGCATGGCGTCAAACTCGCACCACATCCGCTCCTCCTCCGCTCCCATGCCGCCTGCTGCTGCCGCTGCTCCTGATGCACCTGCACCTGCTGCTGCTGCTTCCGCTGCCGTCCCCTCTGCCACTGCGGCCCCCACATGCCAGGCCCCTTGGTGGGGCGGCAAGAACGAGGTCATGTGCGCGGCAAGCGGGGTCATGGTAGGTGCAAGTGGGTTAATGACGATAGGTGCAAGCGGGGCCGTGGCAGACGGGTGGTGCTCTGGCAGGGGTGTGGCGGAGGGGGTGTTAGGCCTGCCCAAGGCGTGGGGAAGGCGAGGCGCAGAGGGGGAGTGAGGGAATGCTGCTGCGGGCGCGGAGTGGGAGTGGGGGAATGATGTTGCGGGCGCGGAGTGGGGCCGCAGTGGTATGGGTTGCGAGTGGGGGATGAATTGGGGTGGGGAGTGGGGGGTGAGAGGTATGGGAGCGGAGCGGGGGAGGAGGGGTGCGGGGGCGGAGCGGGGTGGGAGAGGCATGGAGGCGGAGTGAGGGAAGAGGGGCACGTGGGGGAGGCGGGGCATGGGGGGAGGAAGAGCAGCGTGCGTGGGCCAGGCAGCCAGACCCAGTCCACCTGCAGTCGCTGTGTCACCCGCAACACCACCGCCAGCACCGCCAGCACCGACAGCAGCAGCACTGCCTGCGAGGTTAGAAGCACTGCCAGCGCACGCAGCAGCAACAACAGCAGTAGGTGGAGCGCGCACGGCTTCAGTGCCCCTCCATCCGCCCGTCATTCTGGGCGCGGGGTGTCCCATGCTCTGCTGCGCGGATCCCAACCGCCCCGCCTGCCACCTCTCCGCCACGCCACTACTTCCGCTCCCCCTTACCATTCCCCCAGCATCCGCGCCTCCTGCCCCGCCGCCCACCGCGGCTACCACAGCACCTGAATTCCAGACCCCAAAATCACTCCACTGCCGCATGCGACCCCCTCCCTGCACAACCACCCCCACTCCGCCCGCGGTTTCTCTGCATCCCACCACGCCCCCCTGCTCTCCTGCGCTCTCCGCCAACCGCCGTCGCACGTGCTCCGCCCTGCTCCGCCCGTCCGCCCCTCCGCCCCACCCTTCTCCGCCAGCGATGGCCCTCTCGCTGCGCTCGCCGCCACTCGTCCGCGGGCGAGTGGCGGAACGACCGCCGCTCGCAGTCATGCTGCGTGCATGAATAGCAGGTTCCGAAATAGCAGACTCGGATGGACCAGGTTCGGAGGGACCAGGTTCGGTAAAAGCGCCATTGGTGCTGGCCTTATGAGGGGAGGCGGGTTCCGCGGAGGGGCGGCGCAGATGAGCGGTGAGGGCGCGCACCATGGCCTCTCGACTCGCGACGAACGCGCTGAAACGCGACGCGCTGCCGTCCACGCTGCTGCTGCTGCTGCTGCCACTCGCGCCGTCCGCCTGCTGCCTTGCGTGTGCGCCTCTGCCTACCAGACTCCCGCTTCGGCGGGGAAACGCGCATCCATCGCTTCCTCCCCGCCGAGATTCGAGTACCCGCGCAATCTCCTGACTTTCCTGGGCGAGAGACGCGGAGGTGGAGCGTGGAAGATGCGCGATGATGTCTTCTATTCCGCCGTCGCCACGCGCTTGGTTTCTATGGCGTGCTTCCGCGGATGTTTCCGACATGTTGTGCGCGCTAGAGTCCGATCCCGTCGTTCTGACCTCTCGCGCCCCCCCGTCGTCCGTGCGCTCACGTTCCGCATGCCGCGCATTGCCAGGGGCTACGCGCCGTGTCACTGCGGCTGCCATTTCCCGCGCGCGGTCCTGCGCTTCCAGTTCCGCCAATGCGCGCGCAAGCGGATAATCGCGAGCGTCAGTCCCACGCAGGCGCGCATCCGCCGCGGGCGCACTTCGGCGTTCACCTATCCCCGAGGGAACCCCCGAAGACGCTACCGCTGCATCAGGCGCTATATTCCCATCCTCGCACCGGGCCGCGCATTTCGCATGTTGTGCTCGTTCTGGGGGGAGGACAGCGCGTCGCGGTGATGCGACGGGTTGTAGCGAGTGGAGAGCGGCGGCGGAAGGCGAGCGCGGGGATGGCAACGGGGAGGAAGGAAACGGCGGAGAATCGCTCATTTCGGACAGCAGGCTCGCGAGCAGCTGCACGGACATCACGTCTGGCGCCTCGCCCTTGGGCATTCCTGTTGAAGGACCTTCAACGCGCGCCAGACGTTCATCGGACACGTTCGCGATGCGCATCCCCGAGGCGCAGTCTGAACTTGGGGTATTGATTCTATCATGGGATGTCGAAGCGCGAACGGCGGACATAGTGACGGGAAAACGGGGAAATGACGGAGTCATTGCGAAGAGATTCGATTCCCGCTGAGATTGCGATGAGTGCGCGTTCAGCATATATTGTGCCGGTGTTTGCGCGAGGCTGGCATCGTGATGAAACTCGGGCGTGGTTTCGCCGTCGTCTGCGTTAGGACCATGGTGAATCCCGCGCGTATCCTTCTCCATAATCAGGCTAGATCCTCTCGACGGATTCGATGTGGATGCCACATTAGACGGGGAACTTGAAAGGAGGGACGTGAATGTCAGTTATGTGTTGTGGATCTTGATAAGAGGTGGTGTGAAATGTGGAGCAAATTGGTATGGTTGCGGAAAGCAACGGATTGAATGCTGACGGGAAGTTGAGACAGATGGAGTTGGGGCAAGTGGGTGGACGGTGCATCCCCTCCCCACAGTCGGATTGTCCACCACAGCGAGTCAGCAACCCACGCTTACGAAACAAATGTGTCTCCGAGCCGCGAACTAAACATCCGCGCTGCGAATGGACATTGTGTTTTCCCAGCTCCAGGGCTGGTTGAAGGGGCCTGCTGCTTGATTCAAATCAAAGGGCATTTTGCCTGGCGCCAGTCAAAACTTCTAACAGTCCGCTACAGGTTTAGTTCATTCTGTGTGTGTTCTGTTCGGTATCGAGGGACAGCATTCGGTCTTGTCTTTTGACGCTCTGGACACCTCTAGCATCCTCGACCAATCACGGACGGCCCGTTGTGGTGTGTGCGGTGTCAAATTGTCAACATGCTCACAACAAGAGTGCATGACAGGGGCGGCAAGGCGAAGGTGCAGGTGTGCTTCTTCTGCCTGGTGCCTAGAGGAGCCCACCGAGGCAAATGCAATGTGCAGTGTTGTCGTTTAGATGGTCGGCGAACGGGGCAACGTGGAGGGAAACAGTGCTGTGCAGGCGCACATGCCTTTCCTATTACCAACAGACGGTTGTCCTTTTGACCACGTGTCAGCCTGAGGAGTGATATGCATGCATGGTTCACGAACTTTAGAGCAGGGCCAACGAGGCAGTAGTACGAACGAATCAGGCCGAGATTGTTGAATAAAGAGCCAATGAGCATTCACTTTGACACACTGGACAGTGCATGAACCAGGGGGGTGAAGGCGGAGGCGCTTCCGTATCGTTCCTAGTGTCTCGATCATTCTCCCCCAGCCCGGAAACAGCTAGTGTACACTATAGCAGAGAACTGTACATTGGATAACAACCTTGTCAGCGTGGTTTGAAATATCCCCGGCTTGCGTCCAGAAACAGTATTTGATATCTGAATGACCAGAATTGCTGACCGTTTTTCCTCCCTTTCCAGCATCAAGCACACGTGCATGCAGTGCTGCTCGCCCAGCCCTGAAGGTTCATTGCTTGTCCATGGAATTAATGCTCGGTGGCAAGTCTTCTGTCCTCACTTGACGTCATGACGTCAGACACCTCCATCCCACCCCACCACTCACCAACCGACGTTACGTCAGTGAGAAGATTTTCCGCTAAGAGGTTGGTTCTGACTGCTGTACATAGCATTCTGGTGGAACACATGAAGTCATACAATATAATTTCTCCAACTCAAGCACACACACAATGCACACAACGCCTTACCACAATTTACACAGATTCAAAATTACGGTACCTAACAAAGAATCTATTCCAGTCACACATGATCTCATGTTCCTCAGGTCTCGGGTTAGCTGAGAACAGCTGGCCCCATTCCATTCTCAGTCCACTTGTGTGGCAGGAGGAAAGGAACCAGCTGTTCCAGTGAGAGACGCACATCACAGGCCATGATGCAAGTTCACTTGAGCATGTATGGGTAGAGTACAGGGCTGCAGCTTGCAGAACTCCATCAGAGAACTCTCAACCAAATCCACCTGCCCTCACCCCACCAACCCATACCTCCCTACAACATGTTTGCTTTTATTCACCAGCATCACATCATTCAAGCTGCCATTCTCAATTCTTCCTGTATGACTGCCATGCTCAGCCACTCTACGCATCAGCTGGGGTGAAAGTGAGAGACACGCTGTTCACGCAGTGCCGCTCATCCGTGGGGGTGGGGAACCCCTCGCCCTTGAACACGTGCCCCAGGTGCCCGCCACACGCCGCACACACAATCTCCACTCTACGCCCGTCCGCATCAATGTTTCTCTTGATAGCTCCGGGCAGCCCCTCGAAGAAAGCGGGCCAGCCGCACCCTGAGTTGAACTTGGTGGTGGACTTGTACAAGGGCGTGCCGCAACCTCCACAGTTATAGACGCCCTCCTCGTAGTGCTTGTTGTACTGACCTGTACCGGGGTACCTGATAACGAGAACAAGTGGTGGATGCAAACGGGAAGGGTTGCACAAGGAGGCCATTGTGACTGTTCATAAGATACAGCACCGTAGGCCTAGGGGCCACGTGTTATCCTAAGGGCGGGTTTAACTTTGCACACTCCCGTTTTTTTCGTTATTTTAACGTCAACACACTTGTCAGATTTGACTGTACCCCAGGGCGTACTCCTACTGATTCTTGTGCAGTTCGGACTGTACAGTGCGGACTTTTGACGAGGTACAGTAACGTTGCGAGGTACAGTACCTGGGAAGGAGAGTTACCAAATGTTGCGAGGGTTTCCGCATCTAGGGCGAAGAGTTTTGGCGAGAAACGGGCGTTACTGTTTGACGACTTTGACGGGAAGCGATTTGGGAGACGAACCTTCGGATGTGTTCCGCACGTCCCGGGGCACGTTTCCGAAATGAGCTCATTTATGTACAGTATCGCGTCAAGCGAATCTTGTACGTTAAAAGTTCTGTTACATGCTTTATTGTGGTAACTAAGCTGAAATTTAACCGTACATGTGCAAAGTTTGAACCGCCCTTATAGGCCACGGTATAGCCCTACAGGCCACGTATCCTTAGAGGCCACGATATAGCCCTAGACGCCACGGCATAGCCCCACTTGGCAAATCTGAAGGCCAAAACTTTGGTTTTCTCATACGCTTGTGAGCTTGCCTCCACTCCAACATCAACCAGGCAGCCTCAATCGTTCTAGCGCGCAACCTAGGCGTTAGTAATCTTGGTCTCATATGCGTAATTTCCGCAACATTGAACGCTTCCCTCTATACCCACGGCCCTCGTCCCCCCTGAACGTTCCCTCCCCGCCCACTCACTCGGTGCCTTTCATCCGCAGAATGCGGAACTGCTCCGGCGACAGGATCGCGCGCCATTCCTCCTCGCTCTTCACCACCGCCATCGGCGCGGCCTCTCCGCCTCCCCCGCTTGCCTGCGCGCTGCCGGGCCGCGCCCACGACGACGCGACGACGACGCCCAGCAACACCGACCTCACTGCCCTCGCCCTACCGACGGCTGCCACGTGTCCCGGTGATCGCAACGCCAGGGGAAGACTACGATTTCGGCCTAATTGCTTGTTTGCGAGAAGCGAGGATGCAGAGCGAGGCGCCGAGAGCAGGGAGGCTGTGGTGGCCATGAAAAGGCTAGGAGCTGGAATTTATGCACGATGGCGGTGATGACGGATGCTTGTGGAACACGGAAACAGATAGATGACTGAGGATTCCGAGATGCTGAGCCGCAGGGAAGTAGAGAGATGTGGACGGAACCGCAGCAGTGGAGGAATTGGAAGAATCGCAAATGAGCTAAGAAAGCGGAGGGCTCCGGTAATTGAAGGTGGAAGGAAGGTGAGGCCGAGGAGAATCCGAACACGCTATTGCACTCTCCGTTTATCTCAAATGGGAAAAGATCAGAAAGGGGCCTTGGAGTAGCCGTAAATTGGCTGAATTGGGGCCTTGTGAGTCGCGCCCCTACTACGTAGCCCCGAAGCAACCAACACACCTGGGCAGTTAGGCCGAGCCTGGCCTTCTCGCCAGGTCACCACCTACTGGCCTGGGATTGACGGAATTCGCTAGTGACCCGTCATCGAGAATTACCCGGAAAAACATTTGTTTAACCCCAAATATTCAAATATTCAACTCGCAATGGTACAAAAAATAAACCCCGTTCGGATGGCATATAATTGGGGAAGCATCAACCCTAAACACAGTGCGGCAAGATGTTTAGGGCTGAGGCCCCTTCGAAGGCATGACGCAGGAGAGAAAATTTTGTCAATTATTATATGTCGAGTAAAAAAATTCTTTGTCGTCAAGGAAGAATTCGTCACCTTGTGTGGTTAGGTCTGACGGAGCGCGTGAATGAGGCTCGAAATTGGTTGGGTACAGGTCCGGCCCAGGCTCTCTTTGCGACACACAAGGCCCCAAGTCGGCGACTTTTCTAGAGCTCTGGGGCCCCAATCTGATAATCTCCCTATTTCAAATACCACATTGGACCTACTTGGTCGACGTGGCAATCTTAGGACCTTCTTCAACGACGTGGCAGGCTTCACAAACTGCCCTCGACTTCCGAAACAGAACCCGAGTTTTACCTCGCTGAAGCCAGCTTCGCTTGTATCCTCATGATGTACACGTTATATTTTTCAACGCCAAGGAATCCAACCTAGATTGCATCAAAACAATCACATTCCCAGGCGCTGAATGTTCAGATGAACTCCCTGCCAGCTTGCTCGTGACAAACGTGTCATCTGCTCGCCCGCAATCCCACAACACCTTTCGACGCGCCGAGACGCGAGACCTGCGCATGCATGGCGGCAGCAGCCATGGCTGGATGGACCTCCCACGCGCCACGGAAGCGTCGTTACTATGTCGGCGAGCTACTATCATCGGCATCCTCGTGCTCCTGTTCTCCACGCGCGCGTTATCTGCTCGCTTTCTCCCGGCGCTCTCCCTTCGCGTTCTCGCCGCGCTCTCTCCGCGCCCAGTCTTTCCGCCGCTAGACTTTCTTCCGCCAGTCAGTCGTCTAGCAGCGCCCGCCGCTCGCCGCGTGTGACCGTTGCCTCCACCTCATCCTCCCCCTCGTCCTCTTTCGGTCACTTCGTCTGCTCCCTTTTCGCTCGCTCGTCTCAGCGTTCCCGATTGATAAGCAGCCGCCCTTCGCGTGGTTAGATTCTTCCAAAGCGGCACCACTATGACGTTCTTCATCTTCGCGCTAAACGACCGTCTCGTCTGCCATGTCATACCACTTCTTGCTGCCGTGTCGCTCGCCCAGTGGATGCTGGCGTGCCACGTCAGCGCGCAGCCTGGGCCAATCACGTTCCGCGTTGACCCGAGAAGGTCAAATCTGACGTGGGACTCGGAGATCCCGCCGAAAGAAGGGCAGCTCGCATCGGTTGTCGTTACCCCGGGAGGCTTCCCACTGGCGGGCACTGTAACGGTGGATGTGATCGAGTGCACGGATATAAGAACGTCCTTTAATATCACCCTGGTGAGCTTCGTGTGACTTAGGCGAGGGAGTGACTGCAGCAGCTGATCTCAGCAGCCCACGAAATGGCGAAAGTGGATTCGCCGCTTCCTTCTTTCATCACCCTTTCAGCACCCGCATAGTTCCGTCCTGCTCCTCCTTACTTCCCCTCACCCTCCGCACTCCAAGTCCCCCACCATTTCCCCTCCTCCCCCCCTCCCCCCGTCCCCTTCCCCCGCGCCCCGTCCCCCCCCCACCCCACAGGCGCGCATCAGCAACACGTCGCTGACGGGCATCACTCCAGCGGGTCGACCAGCGCCGGCGTCCATTGTGGCGCAGGCCAACGCCACTGGCACCATCGCTGCCTTCGCACCCACCCTCAACCTCTCCAGTGCGCACCCTCCCCCTCCGCCTCAGTCGTTTTGTCAATCCCGTGCATTTCTCCCTCTCCCTCCTCTCTCTCCCCTCCTCCGCTTTTCTCCCTGTCTCCTCCCGCTCTCTGTCTGCTCCCTCTCTTTCCTTCTCCCACATTTTGCTCTCACCAGTATCTACCATCTTTCACTGTCCCCTTGCATCTTAACGCCCCCGTCTCTCCTTCTTGCTAACCCCCCCTCCCATTCTCCTCATCCCGAGCCTAATCAGCCTCGGACGTGCCGCCATTCGCCATCGACCAGACGTACGGCTCCTTCCAGTCCGCGTGGACCGTGCCCACTGCCACGTGGCGCGCTGTGAGAGGCTTTTTCGCCCCCAGCAGGGACTTTGGCGGCGGCCCCTTTTCTGCTAGCAACCTGACGGCCCCCCTCGCCTCCTTTGGCTTCGTTGATGGGCACCTGAGCACTGTGAGTGGGACACCTGATCACCGTAAGGTACCTCACCAGACACCTGAGCATTGTGAGAGAGACACCTGAGCACTGTGAGAGAGACACCTGAGCACTGTGAGAGAGACACCTGAGCACTGTGAGAGAGACACCTGAGCACTGTGAGAGAGACACCTGAGCACTGTGAGTGAGACACCTGAGCACTGTGAGTGAGACACCTGAGCATTGTTAGTGAGACACCTGAGCACTGTGAGTGAGACACCTGAGTTCAGAATGGGCGTGCGAGGCTATCAGTTGTGCTGGTCAAGGAATTAGTCGTTCCTTTCATGCCGCCTTCATTGCACCCCACCCACCCTTCCTGGATTGGCCCTTGTGGTCCCCATCCCATTCCCTCTCCCTCTCGCCCCCTCTCCCCCCCTCTCTCCCCTGTGCCCTCTCTCCTGTGCATTCCACCACCTCTCCCCTCCCCCCCATGCAGGTAGCAGCAAACCAGTCGCAGGTGCACCTCTTCATCAACTCCACTGCCGTCTTCACTGCCCGGTGCGCAAGGGGGGGGGGAAGAGAGGCAGGGCGGGAGGGCAGGGGAAGAGAGGACGGGGGAGAGAGGCGGAGAGATGGGGAGGAGGGCAAGCAAGCAAACAAAGGAAGTGGTGGAGGAGGAGGGGGAGTGCTTGCATGTTGTCCTCTGTACTCATGCAGACGTACAACAGGCAGGTGCTGCTGTTGAGCCCCAGTGCATTATCCTCATCATGCATCAATCTTGCAGCACGCATGTTGACATCCGCTCACCGCTCCCCTCTTGCCCTTGGTTTTACCCCCTCCGTTTTGCCCTCCCTTGCACCCAAGGCAGGCAGCTGCTGCTGACGGCCAATGCATGGGCGTCCATAATGAGCATAGTGATGGGGCAGGGCCGCGTGCGCATGCGCATCCTCCTCACCGCCATCGCGGATAACCCCTGTGCCGTCGCCCCCACGCCTCCCTCACCGCGCTCGCGGCCGTAACTTCTCTTGACTTGCCTTGACTGCTTTGACCCGCACCAGCTTGGTTTCTGTAGTGAGGGAGTTGTCTGCTGCTTTGGCCTAGCAGCATTCTCATTGGTTTTTGTTGCACTGAAGGAGAAAGGGTTGTTGCAGCACTGGTGCGTGTGAAGAAACTACATACAGGGTGGCTGTTCACTGATGCTCATCATGTTGCTCCGGCTTGGAGACAGACCATGTTGTTCATGTTCCTTCTAGTACCGGTGCAACAGCGACATGCATTTGCAGCATTAGTGGACGACGAAGCTACGCTGTACTGTGCAAGAAGCTCGCCACGCTAGCTTGATAGCTGCGAACATAACCACTAGTTTGTATGTACAAGTGTGATGGCAAGATTTTCAGTTTCAACCAACTTACCGATACGGTACCAGTCATTTAGATATGGCAGCTAGAGAATAGGATAGGATACTATATGTTGACCAAGTGCGCCTACAACAATTAAGTATAACTTGCCATTTGGTTGATATCTTAGCACATTTACACGCCTGGTTCACCACCAGGCAAACCATTCCATTTACCGATAACAAGATATGTACAACGAAGCAGACAACAAGAACGGTGCCAGCAGCATGCATAACTGTATGTACACAAACATGTGCAGATCACGGCCTCCCTCCCTCCCAAGCACACACTACCCCGTCTGAGCAGGGTCGAGTGGAGCGAGGTCGGCCTTGGCGGGGCCGTTGATGCAGCGGCCGCGGTGGTCGAACTGCGAGCCGTGGCACGGGCAGTCAAACGTGGTGTCGTTGGGGTTCCAGTGCACGCTACATCCCATGTGCGGACATGTCGCTGGGGGGAGGGAACGAGGGGCCGGGAGGGGAAGAGGAGAGAGAAAGCCACGTGACTTTTGAGACACCTAGAACACTGTCGTTAGGGTTCCAGTGCACGTTGCACCCCATGTGGGGGCATGTTGCTGGGGGGAGGGGACGGGAATTCCGAAGGGAGGGAAGAAAAAGAGAGGCAGGTTGTGAAGCACTTAACATTTGATTGCACAACAGGCATGTGGCAGAGGATGCGTTGTGGGCCCCTATGGAAGAGCACATGCGGAATGGTGCTTCATGCATAACACCCCCCCTGCAAAACTCACACACCACACTCTCTCGCACCTGCAGCAGAGCACTCCCACAACAGGCCACACACACACAGAGAGCATGCACCCCCACAGGCAGCACAGACCAGAGAAGGCGTGCACGCAGCCGTCCTTGTCACGGAACACAGCGGCCTTGCCCGCGCCCATGCGCACCACCGCCCCGCACCCGCGCCCCAGCTCCTCTATCTCTACGCCGTCCGTGCCCACCAGGGGCAAGCGGTCCTTGTACCCCTGCCGTGCGCGGGTAGCGAGAGCACAAGGGGGGGATGGGAAGACTCAGGTCACAGTGAGATGGTTGCACGGATGGACCACAGTGCGCTCCCCCGCGCCCCAGCTCCTCTATCTCCACGCCGTCCGTGCCCACCAGGGGCAGCGGTCCTTGTACCCCTGCCGTGCAGGAAGGGGTGGTGGTGGTGGTGGTGGTGGTGGTGGTGGTGGTGGTGGTGGTGGTGGTGGTGGTGGTGGTGGTGGTGGTGGTGGTGGTGGTGGTGGTGGTGGTGGTGGTGGTGGTGGTGGTGGTGGTGGTGGTGGTGGTGGTGGTGGTGGTGGTGGTGGTGGTGGTGAGAGCACAGTTGGAGATGGCAGCACACACGGAGATGGCAGAGAGGCGGGTGCATGGCCCCACAGTGGGCCATCCATTCCGCCCCAGTCCTCTACAGCCACCGTCCACTGTGAGCCGAGCCGCTGTGTGCCACGGGGTCGAGCAGTGCAGTGCAGTGCAGTGCAGTGCAGTGCAGTGCAGTGCCGTGCAGTGCAGTGCAGTGCAGTGCCGTGCAGTGCAGTGCAGTGCAGTGCAGTGCAGTGCAGTGCAGTGCAGTGCAGTGCATGAGGACGGCTCTGGTACCTGAAAGGTGTGGCTGACAACGGAACCGGCCAGTGACAGTGACTCCTTGGACAGGGGCGGCAGGCGCGATGGCGAGTAGATCTCCACGAACGGATTCGGGCGGCGGCAGATGAGATCGGATATGATCATGGCGGCTATGGTGCCGCCCGTCATGCCCTGCCCACTGTCACCTGCACCATGGGGGGACGGTGGGAGGGTGGGGTGAGAGAGTGGGGGGAGCAGGGAGGATTGAGTGAGATGGAAAGCGAGCGGCAGGGGCACCTGGGAGAGAGCAGGGAGCTAACATGACAGACCGTTGGTCATGCAGTCGTGGGCATTGCATTCCCGTTGGCTCGGCAGACATGGTGCAGCGTACCAGTGGCAATGTAGGTGTGAGTGGAGTCCATGGGGTTGCGGCCGTACAGCCCCAGGAAGTCCACCGGCTCGTACACCTGCCATGCGTGGGTAGCAGCATGGAGAGAGCAGCACAGGACAGCAGGATAAGAGTGCGGCGGGAAGAACAAGGAGGAAATGGCACAGACGGAGCGGATCAGCAGGCGGAGCAGTTGGAAGTCGTGGAGAAATCCCGAGTTGGAAGCCCCACACCAGCCCATGCCATGAAAAAACCACCACCCACCCCTCCCTGTGTACGCACCATGCCACTCCAGCGGAAGAGCGTCTGCTGCGCCATGGGCCAGCGGGGCCGTGCCCAGCGCTCGAGGTCGCCCCACACGTCGTGGTACTGGGTGGCGGGCATGCCCACGGGGTGGTCGCCGCCGCCCACCACGAGCACGTCGCGCCCCTCCTGCTCCTCCACGCGCACGTAGTGGTAGGGGGAAGCTGTGTCTCACCAGTTGGCTCGCCTGCCAGGGGAGGAATGAGGGGAGGACAAAGAAGCAACAGGGCACCGGGAGCATAACATGGAAGACGAATGGCTCCACTACAGTCTTTTGCCCATAACAATACATGCTCTGTGCCCCACTAACAGCATTCCCAGCCCAGCACACGCCCACATGCCCACATGCCCACACGCACTTGACGGAGCCTTTAGGCAGGTGGAGGCCCACAACATAACTCCTGTCAGCGGGCTGGCGGGCGTGCACGAGGAGGTTGTGGTTGATGGGCGAGTTGGTGGCCAGCACCACCGCCCCCGCGTGCACCACGCCCCGCCCGTCCTTGCTCGCCACCACCGCCCCCGCCCCCGTGCCCGTCACCGACCCCTCCTTGCGGAAGGCGACGGTCTGCTCGAAGATGCGCCCCCCGTGCCGTACAAACGCGTCCGCCACCCCGTTCAGATACCTGGTGGGGGGGGAAGGAGAGAGGGAAGGAGACAGCAGGGGGAGGTACACGGGGAGAGAGGGGGGGAGTGCATGGGATTGAAAGGGGTAGGATATAAATGTTGGAGGGATATGGTGGTGTGAGGGTCAGCAGAGGGAGCAGTGAAGAGGACTGACTGACTTGAGCCACACGTGCAGGGCGGGCAGGGCGGGCCGGAAGAAAGGAAGGGAAGGTGGTCCAACAAGGGATATGCAAGCAGGCGCGTACATGAGGGGGTGGAACTCGGCGGTGGAGGGGAAGCAGATGGCCTTGTGCACGGAGCCGAGGGCGGGGTCGCCGTTGAGATCCGCCATGTACACGTCCGTGAACCCCGCCCGCTTGCACGCCTCGTACTCCTGGGGGCAGAGGAGAAGAGAGAGGGGCGAAAAAGACAATGAGGTGATTCCGTGGAGGAAGAAGGTGAGGGTAAGGCAACCGCCAAACCGTGAATCTGGAATATTACACGGCCACCACCATGCAGCTGGTTACCCTACAAGCTAATTACCAGGTGGAGCGTCTCCAGCGTGGACGGCTTGGAGTCGTGTGGGAAGAGGTACCCATCGAGGCGTGAAAACTTGCAGTCGATGCGCTCGCGCGCCACGGTGTCCTCGATGCACGCGATGGCCTGGCGGTGCGACTCCGCCACGAGCCCCGTGTTGTCACGCCCAAAGCTCTTCTCGAGGTTCATATAGAAGTCGTCGTTCCACGCCATTATGTGCGCCGTCGTCCTCCCCGTCTGCCCTGACCCTGCTTCCCATCACCCCACACCCCAAGCGCACATGTGAACAGAATTCAAACATATATTTAGAACCAATTTAGTGTTGCAGCAAAACGGGTGGGGACGGAGTCTGACCAATGCAGCGGCGCTCCAGCAGCACGGTCGACTTCCCCTTGCGCTGTAGCTGGTACGCGATGCTCAGCCCCGCGATCCCGCCGCCAATCACCGCCACGTCAGCGTGCACGTGCGACTCGAGCTTGGGGAAGCGCGGCTTGAGGTCCAGCTGCCCCCACACGGTGCGCCTCAGCCCCGGCAGCGGCTCCGCCTCCTGCTGCTCGCGCTCCGAGTGCGCTGCGGGGCGCATGCCCGCCATGGCTGCAACGGCCCGATGGAACTGGAAAACGGCTTGAGTGAGAGTGGCGGGCGAATGGCTCCGACTAGTGGCCGCGCGGAATGAGTCCTGGATTGTACTACTCGTAGGAACCGGCTGTTGCTCGCGCTGCGATGGCGTCTGGATGAACGGGAACGCGGATTGCAGATGCGAAATACCGCGCAGGAGCTGCAATGAGGCAGTGTTTGTGGAAGTGAAAGAAGTGCGCGCGAGGGAGGCGCGGCAGGCGGGAAGCAGCACTGTGTGGAGGGCGGCGAGGATTGCACCCGACATAAACGCGCAAAGCTAGTAGCAAGCGTCGATCTGATCGCGCATGTGAAGGTATACGAGGGATGGAAACCACAGGAGGAGTTTGTGACAAGCGCGCAGCAGATCGCACATCTGAACGCGGCTGAGGAACAGCAATGAGGGTGACTGAGAGGGGTGGCAGGAGTGCCATTGCGGCGCGGCGGCGAAGTATCACTTCGGAACAAGTTTGCCAAGGAGGGAACGCTAGAGATGGCTAGTTGAGCTGCTTGATCGAGGCGCCTAAGGTAGCTGCGTGATGGTGTGCATGCGCAATGAGGCGCGATTATGATGACATTTGGCAGAGAGCAAGAGCAAACACAACAGCAAATGCGAACATTCCGTACGCGACATGGATGTGGAGACTCCTCCTGGGAGACATAAAATGATGAAAATTCTACACCGCATTGCACGAATTTGAATGTACATTTCGGAGCTATTCATGGAGGTGCCTGCATTCATCCCGCCCGAATGCCTTGTGCATGAACTGGCGGAACCTGGGCGGAAACCATGGTGGCGGAGGGCGCACGTCGGGGAAAAGGCCTGGTTGGCTGGTTCTGTTCGTGTCACCCAACTCCAACGATGACGTGGTACCATGTCTCGCCAAGCCAAGCAATCCTCGCGGGGAAATGAACCTGCTGCTGCCATTTCACAGGTGATCTGGCGGAGATCCCAATGTTCAGAGCGCAATCCCGTTCCCCGCGCACGCCCTTTCTCCCCGACCCAACCGCCCGCCAAGAGCTATAGATTCTACCTTCGAAATTCGGTTCTGCATTTCACCTCTCCCATTCTCACCCCATCTCGAGATCTCTCCATTTTTTGGTGGGAGCTGTTCCTCCGACCAGCTGCTACCAGGCTGCTTCCTCGCTACGGGGAGGAAGATCTTAGGCGTCGCTATCGCCGCTGTCATCAATATCGCGACCACGGAGTTATTCTGAATCCCACTTAGGCTCTCGCTGTCTCGCATAGGCGACTTCACCGTAACAGATTTACCTCCGTCAGTCACCTGCCATGGCTTCCCGAATTCTCAGCCGCGTCTCGCGGAGACGCCTGTCCGCCGTCGCGGACTCCGCGTTCCCCTCATACGCGCCCACAGGAGCCCTGCGCGCGTTCGGCGGCGTGCGGTGGTTCGCGACGAGCCCCGAGGAGAACGACATCGTCGTCATTGGCGGCGGGCCCGGTGGGTACGTGGCGGCGATCAAAGCGGCGCAGCTGGGTATGAAGGTCACTTGCGTGGAGAAGCGCGGCGCGCTGGGCGGCACGTGCCTGAACGTGGGGTGCATTCCATCCAAGGTAAGCAACGATAACGGGTGGTGGTATCCGCTAGGGTTGTCTACCAGCCGGCGACTGACGGGAATTTCACGGTTGGGAGAATATAAATGTGGGGAGAAATCAAACAAGGGCTATGAGATATGCAGTGGAGGCAGGCCACGATATAGTGTAACGCGCAGATGAATGCAGTGCATCGCCGTTCTCCGTTGTGCCTCCCATCAGCCCAACTTTTCCTCGCTGAAGGCATCTCAAGCTGTCCCGCATTCGCCCCATGCACGCATGCACGCACCTGTGCAACCGTGCACCCGTGTTCCCGTGTAGTCAGGCGACCGTGCTTCCATACGCTGCTCCCATGCACCATGTTCCCATGCCCCCATGCTCCCATGCACTATGCTCCCATGCACCCATGCTCCCATGCACTATGCTCCCATGCGCCCATGCTCCCATGCTCTCATGCATCCATGCATCCATGCTCCCATGCACCCATGCATCCATGCTCCCACGTACCCATGCTCCCATGCACCCATGCACCCATGCTCTCATGCACCCATGCATCCATGCTCCCACGCACCCATGCTCCCATGCACCCATGCTCCCATGCACCCATGCTCTCATGCTCTCATGCACCCATGCTTCATGCTCCCATGCATCCATGCTCCCGTGCACCCGTGCTCCCATGCACCCATGCTCTCATGCACCCGTGCTCTTGTGCACTCATGCTCCCATGCACCCATGCACCCATGCTCTCATGCTCTCATGCACCCATGCTTCATGCTCCCATGCATCCATGCTCCCGTGCACCCGTGCTCCCATGCACCCATGCTCCCATGCACCCATGCTCTCATGCACCACGCATCCATGCTCCCACGCACCCATGCTCCCATGCTCCCATGCACCCATGCACCCATGCTCTCATGCTCTCATGCACCCATGCTTCATGCTCCCATGCATCCATGCTCCCGTGCACCCGTGCTCCCATGCACCCATGCTCTCATGCACCCGTGCTCTTGTGCACTCATGCTCCCATGCACCCATGCACCCATGCTCTCATGCTCTCATGCACCCATGCTTCATGCTCCCATGCATCCATGCTCCCGTGCACCCGTGCTCCCATGCACCCATGCTCTCATGCACCCGTGCTCTTGTGCACTCATGCTTCCATGCACCCGGGCCCTTCTCTCGTGCACCTATGCAACCATCAATCCGTGCACCGATCTCCCTTTCGCGCTCTCAGTCAAGTGGCCAACCTTTCAGTACTTGGGACTCTGTCGTTCCTCTCTCTTCCCGCTACGCTCCTCCTCCCGTTCCTTCCCATCCCCATGCACTGCAAGGCAAAGCACTCCATGACTGTCCGCCTTACCTTGGCCCCTCGTCCTTACTGCTCCCTTCCTTCCTCCCCACCAGGCGCTACTGGAGTCATCGCACATGTACCACGAGGCGAAGCACTCGTTCGCGGCGCACGGCGTCAAGGTGGCGGGGTTGGAGGTGGACTTACCGGCCATGATGGCGCAGAAGACCGGCGCTGTCGCCGGGCTCACCAAGGGCATTGAGGGGCTGTTCAAGAAGAACAAGGTCACCTATGTGAAAGGCCACGGTAAGATTGTCGGCCCGAACGAGGTGGCTGTGTCCCTGCTGGACTCCCCCGGGGAGACCAAGAGCATTGGCGCCAAGAACATCATCATCGCCACCGGGTCCGACGTGCGCCCGCTGCCGGGGCTGCAGATCGACGAGAAGAAGATCGTGTCGTCCACGGGCGCGCTGAGCCTGGACGCCGTGCCGAAGAAGCTGGTGGTGGTGGGCGGGGGGGTGATAGGGCTGGAGCTGGGGTCGGTGTGGGGGCGGCTGGGCGCGCAGGTGACGGTCGTGGAGTTCATGGACGGCATTGGGGGGTACATGGACAATGAGATCCGCCGCACCTTCCAGCGCACCCTGCAGAAGCAGGGCTTTAAGTTCATGCTCTCCACCAAGGTGGTCTCTGCGGACGCGTCGGGCAACGGCGTGGTGCTGGAGGTGGAGCCGGCCAAGGGCGGCGAGAAAACGAAGCTGGAGGCGGACGTGGTGCTGGTGGCGACGGGGCGAGTGCCGTACACGGAGGGGCTGGGACTGGAGGAGGTGGGCGTGCAGAAGGACAAGGCGGGGCGCATTGTGGTGGACGACAAGTTCCGCTCCTCCGTGCCGAGTGTGTTTGCCATTGGGGACGCCATTCCCGGCCCCATGCTGGCGCACAAGGCGGAGGAGGATGGTATTGCGTGTGTGGAGAATCTGGCAGGGAAGCACGGGCATGTGAATTACGCGACGGTGCCGGGGATTATTTACACGCACCCGGAGGTGGCCATGGTGGGTAAGACGGAGGAGGAGGTGAAGGAGTCAGGTGTAGAGTATCGCGTGGGGAAGTTCCCCTTCATGGCGAACAGCCGCGCGCGCACGATCGGGGACTCGGAGGGCATGGTGAAGATCATAGCGGAGAAGGCGAGTGACAAGGTGGTGGGCGTGCACATAGTGGGGCCGAGTGCGGGCGAGCTGATCATGGAGTGTGTGCTGGCCATGGAGTATGGCGCCAGCAGTGAGGACATCGCCCGCACGTGCCACGGCCACCCCACGCTCAGTGAGGCCGTCAAGGAGGCGGCGCTGGCCACGCATGGCAAGCCCATCCACATGTGAGGTGGTGCACCTGCGCGCGTGTGTGTGTGTGTCTTGTGTGCGGGGCGTGTTGAAGCATGTGCAGACACAGCCCTTGCTCGTGTGTGACCTGCCCTCAATTTGGCAGCCCTTGTAGCGGAGTTTATTACAGGCTCTACTAGTTTGTGGTTTCATTCCTACAGTGCACTCCGTACATACTCATTCACCACCGCATAACCCGTTGATTCTGTGTTCCATATGCTGTCTAGGTAGGACATTCTACCGTACCTTACAATTTTGTTTTGCTTCTTCAGCATCAACCTCCAGCCTTGGTATTGTCATGTGGCATTCGTATGTTGCTTCATCATTCATTAAAGAGTATACAGTACTAAGACCGCTATCAACACATCATTCAACATAAATCAGGACTACAGCTAGCTCTACTGCTTGAAGCTAACAAAGTAAGCCTACCTATCACAAGTTAGCCTTGTCAGGTTACGGTAAGTTAGCGTTATCACAACAAAGCAGTTAGCAATACACCTAACTAGCACAGCAACAAGAGTTAGCGTTAACTCTTTGTGAGCATCAGAAACTTATCAGTCACCACCTCCGGTTAGCATGTGAGAGCGGGCGACGCAGCAGCAGAGCCACCAGAAGTACCACGAGAGCCACGGGCATGCACCCAGGCCTCCACCTTGTCTGCTGCACTCGGCCCTGCCGCCGCGTGCCATGCTCCATGCCGCACTGCCCATGCTGGCCGTGCTCCCTGTGCTCCTAGTGCCCCCTGCGCTGCCTGCGCTACTCGCACCGCTCCTGCCCACGGCACAGGAGTGGAGTGCAGTGACTGGGCGTGTGGCAGTGCTGCTGGGCTAGGCAACGCCTCCCCTTCCCTGCTGCCTGTCAACGTTCCACCTGTTGGCCTTATTGCCCCATTCTTGCCCTCCGCTGATTCCTTGCGCATTCGTGATCTCGCACTGTCCACCAGTGTGAGCCATGCCTCCACCCTCTGCCTCGCCTCTCTGGGTGCGCCCCTGCCTGCCTCCCTGCTCGCTCTCCCCCTCTCACCACATTCACTCGAGGAAGCGTGACGGGCTTCTGTGGAGTTGCCAGGTGTTGAGCTGGAAGCACCACCAGCTGGCCTGGTATGTGCCGAGTCCCCACTGCCCTCCCTTGCAGCACGGGCTAGCTTCGCGCTTCTCTCCGCCACTGCTTGCTCGCCCACATCGTCACTACTTGCTGCTACCGCCTCCCTCCCTGCCCCTCTCTTCATCCCATGCACCAACTTCCCAATGTCCAACCTGGCAAGCTTATCCGCCACGTCAGCAGCCACGGAAGCACCTCGGTGCTCCCTCACAGAATCCTGCACGTCCAGGCTGGCAGCGGGAGTGAAGAAGTCTTCGTGGTGCTCCACCGACCACGCCAAGTCAGAGTCCCACAGCAGCCATCCCGCCCCCGCGCGCGCCTCCGCCACGCACCCCTCCTCTGCTGCGCCCTCCGTGTCCCCGCACGCGCCCGCCTTGGCACACGGGCACTGCGGTTGGGGTGTGGGGGTTTGCGTGCACCCTGCCACAGCTGTTGGCGTAGCAGCAGGGGGAGCGGTAGCGGAGCGGGTGGCACGGGCTGGGGAGGCGACAGGAGAAGCGCACTCCGTTAATCCACACAACTCGTCCGCAGGATGCGCCACGTCAGCATCGCCATCCACCGCCATCGTATTGAGAAATGGGAGGGCGGAGAGGGCAGCGAGGGCGGCGCCGTGGGCGGCGGACTCAAGTGAAGGGGACGGGGGAGTGGGGGCAGCGGACGCGGGGGAGCGCCACGGCACTGCGCGCAGCGCCTGCTGGGGGCGACGATGGCCGCGCCGAGGTCTCACTCTCCCTCCCGTCGCCACGTCTGCGCGCTGATCTGATTCGTCAACCACTATCTGCTGACTCCCTTCGTTAACAGAACATTTCGTTTCTGTCACCTGCTGCAGCGACTGCTGCTGCTTACGATGCGCGACCACGGAAACCGTTAGTCCGGCGCCACCGCCAGAAGCGGCGGTGGACGCGGAGCACTCCGCTGCAAGGCCCTCCGCGCGGAAGGTCCCAGGAAGCTGCGGCGGGATGTGGGGAACGTCCCCGGAAAGTCCGAGCGGCTGCTGCGCGGCGAGGTGGCGCACCACCTTCCGCCAGTACGCGCGCGTCTTGCTGTGCTTCGTGCCCCGCGGACCACCTGCGCAGGAGGGATGGGGGAAAGGGAGGATCAAATGCGGAAGAGGTTACGACAGGAACGCAGGGAGAAACACGTCGGGAAACCGGTTCAATGACGACAAACAGGATGTCAAGTATGGTACGCCAGGGCACGATACGATTAGAGTGGTGTGGTGGAAGGGGCTCGGCGCGCACCGTTGTGGAACTTGGCGAGGAGCTCCCAGTCGTGCGCGCGGATGGCGCCGGGGCAGTAGCGCAGCCAGTACCGCACCACAGTGTCCTCCGCGTGCGCCAGCTCGCGACACGCCGTCCACCGGCCGGCACGGTGGCCCCACGCGTCGCGGTGATACTCCTCCGAGATCTGCAGCGGCCCGATGCTGCTTCCCGCGTCGCCGTCCGGGCAGTTCACCCTGCGAGGGGGCGAGGGGCGAGGGGCGAGGGCGGCGGGGTCAGAGGGAGAAGCGCAGAATGACACGATTGGATAGACACGGGGTGGCGATCCGGGGCGCAGCTGCATAATCTACCGAGGGGCGACGGCGAGCTGAACTGCCCTACCTGTTGCTGGACTCGATGAACCGCAGCGCGTTCAGCAACGGTCGTAGTTCCCGCTTCGCGACCTCCAGCTCCCTGTGCGGCACGCGCTGGCCACGGTCCCACTGCACGCGGCAGCCCCTAGACGCGCTGCGCAGAGCCGCGCCGCCCACGATGGACCCCTTATCTCGCTCCGTCTCCGAGCCGAACGCCGTGCCGAGCCACACTCCGTGCCGAGCCATTACGAGGTTCGGCGGCTTGGAGGTGTCTAGGCTCGTGGCGTTTCCGCACCCCATTGGAGGAGCGATTAGCGCGAGCGGGCAAGCTCGGAGATAGTGGTATGGAGAGGTGGGGAACGACAATTAGGCTGTTGCAAAAGCTCCAGTCTATCAATGGCTGACTTTAGAGTAGAGTTTGCCTAACTACTCGCCACCAGTGGCTGGTTCACTCTCACTGAAAAGCTGCTGCTGGCAAGGACGATCGGCAGCACCAATCAACCAGACTTCCGAAACATGGAAAACTGGAAAGCGTTTATGTATAACCTAAAACGACAGCCGCTCTGCGAACGCGGCGGCACCCAGAAGTGCCCGACACGCTGCGCATGGTTCGCAACGCAATGGGCAAAGCAGGTTGGTCAGGTTTGGCGGGGAAGGGGTTGGTTGGTGCGAGTGAGTGTGGAGGGGAGGGCGAGGAGGGGCGAATTTCCGAGAGTCGGGGGAGTGGTTTGGTGAAATGTGGCTGTGGTTGCAGCGCAAGGAGTGACGGTGACGCGTGGGGCAAGCGTAATCGTAAGCCGTTCAACGCACGAAATCTGACGGCTCTCGGCGAGATATGGTGGTCCAGAAATTGCGCAGCGCCGGTCACTCTGGTTCGTGCCTCTCGGGGCCGAGAACTGCGGAGGTGGAGCCAAGAGTGCAATTCGACTCGGTAATTTCGCGAGGCCTTGGTGCGGACAAAGTGTTCCGACATCAGGCTTTCAAGGTCTCACTATAATACTGGCAAATGAAAACAAAAATTATAATCGGTTTTGCATTCATGTATTTATCATAGTCAATGGTTTTACTAGGCTAGTGGTTAACATCCATTATGACGAAGGAACCTGTCAGGTGCTAGGAGAGGAGTTTTTTTAAGAGCATAGGGGATTTCGTACATAATCTAGTAGTGTATCAGACATTGTTCACTACAGCCAGCTGGTTGGTGGGAGGAGAGGTGATGCTTTTCCCCCATGACCTGCTGCTGTACCCGATTGACTTTCGTTCAAGTTGTCAGTGCATCGGTGATCTCGAGAACGTTCGTCCCTGCGCAGCCAAGTCTTAGTTCCTCATCCCCACGGATATGTGCCTTCACTTAGGTCGTTTGGCCCACCCCTCGACGAACTAAATAGCGGGTGCATGGTCTGAAGTATAGTTACTGAATCCATTCCCAATGGTCAGTGTGGCTACAGCGTTCACTGATGGTTTGAAAACCAGCAATGATGAACCTCCATTTCTGTAATAGTGTTTTTTTCAATGAGTAGTAATGAGAATGGTGGCAACGAAGTCTATATCGTGCAATCCCCTCCCCATCCACACTCTACCTTTCACACCCTCAGGCGAAGGCGTCGCGGGTGCTGCTGTGCCTGGTGGCGGCCTCCGTGCTCCTCGCGCTGCTGCCCTGCGCGGTTCACTCCGCCGACTCCGCCAACGTCTCAGCGGAAGAAGCGGCGGCAGCAGCGGCGGCGGAATCCGCGAGGGCGACAGCGGAGGCGGTGGCGAAAGCGGCGGAGAGCGCGGCCGCCAAGGACGAGGCCGCGGAGAAGGCGGCGGAGGAGGCGGCGACGGCGCGCGAGGGGGATAAGGGCGCGGAGGAGGAGGCGCAGAGCCCGATCCCGCCGGCGATAGCGCAGGCGGAGAAGGCGGCGTCCGACATTGTGCCCGACGGTGGGGGTTGCGCTCCGTGTCGCTTAGGTTCAGGCAGCGTGCAGTGCGGGCAGTGCGGGCAATGATGGAGTGAATCCCCTCGGGACTGCATCCACGCGACTGCTCACTGGCGCCGCCCTGCATGCTGTGCATCTCGCCGTCTCACTCACACCATGAGGTCGCTCTCCCTCTCGCCCCTCCCTCGCTCCCCCCCCCTCGCCCCTCCCTCGCCCCTCGTGCGCCGCTGCTCCCGCCACGCCAGGAGCGTGCAAGAAGGAGATCGCGGAGTTCTGCGGCGATCTGACGGTGGGCAATCGGACGGTGGAGAGGTGCCTGACGGGGCAGGTGCAGCTGCTCAAATCCAAGGGCGGACAAGGTGCGCCGCTCGGGGGACAGGGGGAGGTTGGGGGGAGGCGAGGGGGGAGAAGGGAGGGGAGAGGGGGACGATGGGGAGTGCGGGCTCGTTGTTGCGAGGGGATAGTGAGGGAATGGAATAGGGGTAGAGGAGAAGAAGCGTGAGGATGGCCTTTCGAGCTGCGGCGCTGCGCTATGTGTGCCGCGCGTGTGTGCCGTTGCTCACAGCATGCTAGCTTACAGCCCCCCGACGTCGTGTGTCATACTGTTTGTGTGTGCGTGTGTCTGTGTGTGTGTGTGTGTGTGTGTGTGTGTGTCTGTGTGTGTGTGTGTGTGTGTGTGTGTCTGTGTGCGCACGCGCGTGCATGTGAGCAGGGGCAGGGAGCATATCGCCGGGGTGTCTACAGGAGGTATACCAGTTCAAGATAGAGCTCTACAAGAACATCTCCCTCAATAACGACATGGGTCAGTCCCTCTCCCTCTCACCCTCTCATCATGCCACCCACCTCCACACACCGCACCCCACCACACTCCACAAATTACCTTTGACTCTTGCCTCTCCACTCTCTCCCCTCCCCTCATTGCCTCTCTCGCCGCTGCCCTCTCTCCGCCTCTCGCCCCTGCGCGCACTGCCCTTTCCCCTATGGCAGCGGAGGCGTGCAGGGGCGACATACAGCAGTACTGCAACGACGGCTTCCTCTACCCCGAACCCGGCAACGTCCTTGCCTGCCTCAGGTGCTCGCTGGCATGCCTCAGGTATCATGCTCGCTGGCAGCAGGTGCTAGAAGCCACGGGCACGGTGCCATTCCAGGTGCGCCATGCCATCTCAACGTCTGCCAGTCTCCCATCGTCCCTTGCTCTGCCCACCCATCTGCTACTTCCCCACAACAACCCTCTCTCATCCGCCCATCCCCTCTTCCTCCCTGCACCCTCCCGCCCTCATGCCGCTCACAGGGAGACGAGGGGGGCGGGGAAGCTATCGGAGGGGTGTGGGGAGGCGGTGTTGGAGGCGGAGGAGGATGCGGCGGGGGACTTCCGCATGGACCCGCAGCTGCACGCCCTCTGCTCCAACGACGCCGCCCGCCTCTGCAAGGACGTCGCCCCGGGGGAAGGCCGCGTGCAGGACTGCCTGGTGCGTTGGGGGGGGAAGGGCTGGAGCGTTGCGGATAGAGGGAAGGGACTTGCGCAAGCGTGAGGGTGTTGGGGCTAGAAAAGGCACGGCGAGACACGGAGTCCCGTGTCTCATTCGCTTCTCTACCGCAAATCCTCCACCTGCCCCTACAACCTCCTCCTACCGTGTCCTCTCCCCTGCCCCTCCGATTCACTTCCCTCAACATGCTGTCCTGAGCAGAGGCAGCACCGCAGCAGTGTGAACTGGGACTGCCAGGCGGAGCTGTTCCGGCAGGAGGTGGAGAGCGCCGATGACATCCGCCTCAACGTGCGCCTCTTCAAAGGTGCCTCCTGCCCATGCTCCAATTCTCCTCACTCACTCAGCCAGCCATACCCCACACAAAGTGTGCCTGCTCCGCGCCATGCCTAGCACACACACGCCCGCCTCCGCCTCTCACCATCCATCTCCCGACATTCCCTCGTGTCCGAATCTCCCCGTGTGTGTGGCACGGGAGCAGCGTGTCTGGAGGACAAGAGGCGGTTCTGTGCGGACGTGGTGCCGGGGGACGCCAGAGTGAAGGACTGCCTGGAGACGCACCGCCACGACTCCGACTTCTCCAAACCCTGGTGCGCGCCCCTGAGTGCTGCATGAGCCACAGTGCTCCACACGCCAGCTGCCACTCTGTCCGCGGCACCTGTGCAGGACGCATGCTGTGCTCGCGGTCCAGGAGGTGCAGGGACGCACAGAACTCGCCACCTTGTTTGCCGCATCGCATGCACTCTCTGTGCTGTCCTGCACATGTCATCTTCCTTTGCCGCCTGTCATGATGGATGCATGCATGTGTCTCATGCGTGACTGGATGCATACGCCTGCATGGGTGTGTGTTTGTGCGTGGCATGGCACGTGTGCATGGGTGCACGTGTGCATGGGTGTGGGTGCGGCAGCAAGGAGGAGGTGGAGAGGATGATGGAGCGCCGAGCCTCTGACTTCCGCCTTGACCCCGGGCTGCGCAAGTACTGCCACCGTGACATTGTCGAGGTGAGTGGGGATGCATGAGAGGCGTCATGGAGTCATCACAGCTGCGCACACCATAGGGCCATGGCACAATGTGAGATCAATGAGAGGGAGCGACAGATGTACACTGAAGTAGCCCTACCAGCTTCCCCAACCATTCTCGTCTCTCCTACAATCTTATGTGCACTCTCTTCGCCCTTCTTCCTTAAGCCGCACCCTCGGCCGCTCCCTCCCTTTCTCGCTCATTGCCTCCCACCCCTCCCATCCCCCCCTTACACCCCCTCCCACCAGACGTGCTACCCGGACGCGGACGACATAAGCGACGTGGCGTCGTGGGACAGCCGGGTGATAGAGTGTCTGCAGGACTACCGGCGGGAGCTCAAGGACCCGCGCTGCCGCCAGCAGGTGCACCTGCTCACACAGAGGGCTGCTGAGGACATGCGCTTCGACCACCCGCTGCAGCAGGCCTGCCAGGGTGAGGGGCAGGAGTGGAAGAGGGGGGTGTGGGATGACTTGGCTTTGGTTGGGCTCCTGACTGACCCCCTACCCTTGTAGCAGGCGATGAGAGACAGTGAGGACCCCTTCAATGCATCATATCCAACCTCCCCCTCTCCCCCAACTGTAGTCTGCCTCTCCTGCCTTGCTCCAACCGCATGTGCGCCTCCTGCTCGCCGCCACCCCCCTCGTACCCACCCGCTTTCGTCCCTCCCCGTCCTCCTTTGACCCTGCGCACGCGCACCCGCACGTGCACGGTGCGCAGAGGACCGTGAGGTGGTGTGTGCGGGGGTGCCGGACGGCAATGCGCGGGTGTTCATGTGTCTGCAGGAGAATCGCCAGAAGCTCAAACCCGTCTGCCGCACCGCACTCTTTGAGCAGGTCAGCTGCCCTCCCTTCACCCGTTCACTCATGCTGAACCACATTCGTTGGTTCAGCATTTGAAGCTGAAGCATCTGGAGTTACATAACACAACTTGCTACTGTTCTTCCACCCCTCTCCCCCGCGTTGGAGGAGTGCAGGAGATACGGTACGCGGAGGACATCGACTTCAAGTTCCCCATGCGCCAGGCCTGCCAGGACGAGCTGCTGCGCCTCTGCAAGGACGAACAGGGTGGGTGCGGGCACGAATAGGGCAGGGCGAGAATGGTTAGGGAGGAGCGAAGTTGAACCGTGGAAAGGGGAGTGCGTGTGTGTGTGATAGATGGCGGGCGAAATGCAAGGACAGAAGTGCAAGAAGGTAGAGGCTGAGGGGACAAGGCACTGCATGCATGACACTGCATGCAGACTGCTGGTGCGTGGTGCATAGTTCAGTGCTGCTGCTGTGTGGCCGCCTCACCTCTCCCCGTTTCCCCTTATCTGTGGTGATGTTGGTGGGGCCAGGTGGGGGCGACACGATAGCTTGTCTACAGAAGCACGAGGAGGACGAGGATATGGGCGAGCAGTGCAAGAAGGAGGTCAAGAAGGATGAGGAGCGCAGCGCACACGGTCAGTGCATGTGCATGCCATGCCATGCACATGCTGCAACATTCCATCCACATGACACATCCATAGCATGCATGCCACCACATGCACATGCCACCAAACAACCCTTCACCAACCAACCAGCCTTTTCTTGACCCGTCAGCCCTTCACACCGCATCTCTGCGCCCCCCCACACCTCCCTCCCCCCACCCCCACTCCCTCCTTCAGACTTCCGGCTGAACTACAAGTTGAACCGAGCGTGTTTCAGCGACGTGCAGCACCTGTGCATGCACTCGTGCGAGCCCAGGAACGACTCCTTCACCACCGCGGGTGGCCCCTCGGGCGACCAGTGCGGCGGCCGCGTGCTGCAGTGCCTGGCGGGCAACGCCTCGCTCATCGCCAGCCCCGAGTGCAGGGAGGAGGTGGCGTACTTTGAGCGGCGCGAGGTGGGCGATGTCATGCTCGACGTGCCACTGCAGCGCGCGTGCGTGGACGACATCGGTGCGCTGTGCGGGCTGCAGCGCGACCACAGCAAGGTGCTGTCGTGCCTGCGGCAGCACCGCGCACAGCTCAAGCCGGAGTGCCGGGACGAGGAGGTGCGGTTCTCAGCCATGGAGGCATCTGACATCCGCCTCACGCCCTCGCTCATGAACGCCTGTGGGCTCGAGCTGCATGCCTTCTGCCGCGGCGTGCCGCCCAGCGAGGGCAAGGCGTTCCGCTGCCTGCAGACCAGCCTGGGCCAGGTGAGGTTGGCAGCAGGTGATGCGTGTGCGGTTGGGTTCATGGTCGCACAGTAAAGGATGACGTGATATTGTTGCCATCACTCACTTGCACTCCCCACCACCTGCTCTGCCAGCCATCACTGCTGGTCTTGCTGCTGCAACTTCACTTACCTTGTTTTTCCCATCGCCTCTCCCTGTTCATTTCTTGGCCACTCCCCCTCGCCCCTGCTGCCACTGCGAGAGCGAGGTTGAGGCATGTATCAATCACCAGAGCACTCTCTGCCATTGCGCATCATCCCGCCCTGTTCACCCGCCTCCAGGAGAGCATGGGGGTGGCGTGTCGCTCTGAGGTGGCGCTGCAGACGGTGCGCGAGTCACAGTTCTACCTTGCTGACGTGGCGCTGGCACTGCAGTGCCAGGTGGACATCGCCAAGACTTGCAGCGCGGCGGCCAACAGCACGGCGGACGGCGACGGGGAGGTGATAGCGTGCCTGGTGCAGCACTACGATGGGCTCTCCGGGAAATGCCAGACCGAGGTGCGGTGGGGGGGGTGGGAGTGAGAGGTGCAGTGGGCTTAGGAGGGAAAAAGTGAGATGTAACGGGTAAACGAGGGAGGGATGGGGGTTGGATTTTTGTGTTTACAGATGTTCATTGCAGCTGCTCACCTTTCCCCCTCACCTCCATCTCCCTTCTCCACTGCATCCCCTGCGGGTGCATGTGGTGTGTTGGTGCAGGTGGCATACCTGGTGCGCATGGCGCTGTGGGTCTACCACCCCGCCAACAACCTCACCATGCCGTGCGCGGCTGACATCGCCGCCCTCTGCCCCAACGCCACCTCCACCATCTCCACTGCGGTGTCGCATGCGGCGCAGGGAGTGGTGGTGGCGGCGGTGGGGCAGTGCCTGGTGGACCAGCCGCTGGCCAAGCTGAGCAGCGAGTCGTGCCGGCAGCTGGTGGCCGTGGTGGGCGTGGCGGGCGCGCATGTGGGCGGGGTCGTGGACGAGGCCCGCCTTGAAGCCACTCTCGCTGAGATCGCTCAGGTGATGATGCTGGTGCAGGTTGCACAAATTGCACAGGTGATGTTGGCACGGCCCGCACGGATTGCACAGACGCTCTGACCAGTGGACGTGAGGTGAGGTGGCATTCACCCCATCACGCTCTGCCATGTGCTCCATGCCACTTGCAAGCCATCACATTGTGTCTGTGAGTGTCTGCATCATCCCAGCTCCTGGTACTATCATTTCTGCCTCACTGTCCCACCTCGCCATTGCTCCCCACCTTTGCCCCTTCCTCTCTTCTCCACGCCCGCACTTGCATTTCTCCTGCACTGCCCAATGCTCTCCTCTCTCTGAACGTGCAGCTGGGAGCTTTGGAGCAGCAGCAGCAGCAGGGGGGGGCGGGCGGCGTAGTGCTGACGGGGTGGACGGCGCTGCTGGCAGTGCTGGCGCTCTCCATGCTGCTCATTGGTGCCGGCATCTATGCCCACCAACGCTTCTTCAGCCCCACACGCAACTACACTCTAGTTGTGCAGGAGGGAGGTGTCAAGGAGGGGGACGTGTGACAGATGCTCTGTGTGTGTACTACGGTATTGTTTTTATTGAAGCTTCTTCTAGTTCTGACCCAATGTTAGCACTGCAAGCTCGCAAGCCCGTTTTATATAATATGTACATACATCTTGACAGCTGTGGTCTACAAGGTGCATCTCTCTGCTGCCCATGGAAGAGGGACATCTGACGCTCCTGTGAGTGGCATGGCATCGCGCCGACGCTCGATGGCTTCAGCGCACTGCATCTTATCGCAACCAATAGAATTGGAAGCTAGCATGATCATGGTGTCTCTGCAAGACAGAAATTCTCAGACAATCCCTCAGCCACAAAGAAGTACTGGTACCGTAGGTGCTGGACCCTGGTTCTTCACAGGAGAATACGCTCAACAGGATGTTGCATGTGTATAACAAGAAACGTGGAATTACAAAATTGCATTTATATTCATGCGAGAGATAAAGCGGTGTCCCTATCATGTGGCCTACATACAGTATATGGGGTCAAGAACACGAGCTTTTTTTCCAACACCATAAAAATACAAACTTGAATGCTGCAGCCTTCAACAAAATGCCATACAATCAGCCTAGGAGCGTGCCAATGGGAGTATATCCTGCAAAGATGAAAACAAAACAGGTAGCAGTGAATGCAAACGATAGAAGAAACAACTTTAAATGGGGTGACGTGATGCTTACCAGCACCACAGAGCCAGGTACCGAACCTTAACCTATACCTAACCTGAACCTGGGGAAAGGCTCTGTGGTGAGGAGGATGCTTGATACTGCAACCTTTAACCTTAACAATCGTGGAGCACTCATGTTGAAGCACAGAGTGCTGAACGCCGTGGTGAGATCCTCTGGAGCGTGCCAACGGGAGTATATCCTGCAAAGATAAAAACAAAACAGGTTAGTGAATGGCACTGAATGCAAACGGTAAACGAAAACGACTTGAAGTGCGGTGACGTGATGCTTACCAGCACCACAGAGCCAGGTACCGAACCTTAACCTATACCTAACCTGAACCTGGGGAAAGGCTCTGTGGTGAGGAGGATGCTTGATACTTCAGCCTTTAACCTTAACAATCGTGGAGCTGCTGCACATCCGCTCATGTTGAAGCACAGAGGAGTGCTGAACGCCGTGGTGAGATCCTCTGGAGCGTGCCAACGGGAGCATACCCTGCAAAGATAAAAACAAAACAGGTTAGTGAATGGCAGTGAATGCAAACGGTAAACGAAAACGACTTCAAAAAGCGGTGAAGTAATGCTTACCAGCACCACAGAGCCAGGTACCGAACCTTAACCTATACCTAACCTGAACCTGGGGAAAGGCTCTGTAGTGAGAAGGATGCTTGATACTTCAGCCTTTAACCTTAACAATCGTGGAGCTGCTGCACATCCGCTCATGTTGAAGAACACAGAGTGCTGAACGCCGTGGTGAGATCCTCTGGAGCGTGCCAACGGGAGTATACCCTGCAAAGATAAAAACAAAACAGGTTAGTGAATGGCAGTGAATGCAAACGGTAAACGAAAACCACTTCAAAAAGCGGTGAAGTAATGCTTACCAGCACCACAGAGCCAGGTACCGAACCTTAACCTATACCTAACCTGAACCTGGGGAAAGGCTCTGTGGTGAGGAGGATGCTTGATACTGCAGCCTTTAACCTTAACAATCGTGGAGCTGTTCCACATCCACTCATGTTGAAGCACAGAGTGCTGAACGCCGTGGTGAGATCCTCTGGAGCGTGCCAACGGGAGTATATCCTGCAAAGATAAAAACAAAACAGGTTAGTGAATGACACTGAATGCAAACGGTAAACGAAAACGACTTGAAGTGCGGTGACGTGATGCTTACCAGCACCACAGAGCCAGGTACCGAACCTTAACCTATACCTAACCTGAACCTGGGGAAAGGCTCTGTGGTGAGGAGGATGCTTGATACTTCAGCCTTTAACCTTAACAATCGTGGAGCTGCTGCACATCCGCTCATGTTGAAGCACAGAGGAGTGCTGAACGCCGTGGTGAGATCCTCTGGAGCGTGCCAACGGGAGCATACCCTGCAAAGATAAAAACAAAACAGGTTAGTGAATGGCAGTGAATGCAAACGGTAAACGAAAACGACTTCAAAAAGCGTTGAAGTAATGCTTACCAGCACCACAGAGCCAGGTACCGAACCTTAACCTATACCTAACCTGAACCTGGGGAAAGGCTCTGTGGTGAGGAGGATGCTTGATACTGCAGCCTTTAACCTTAACAATCGTGGAGCTGCTCCACATCCACTCATGTTGAAGCACAGAGTGCTGAACGCCGTGGTGAGATCCTCTGGAGCGTGCCAACGGGAGTATATCCTGCAAAGATAAAAACAAAACAGGTTAGTGAATGGCAGTGAATGCAAATGGTAAACGAAAATGAGTTGAAGTGCGGTGACGTGATGCTTACCAGCACCACAGAGCCAGGTACCGAACCTTAACCTATACCTAACCTGAACCTGGGGAAAGGCTCTGTGGTGAGGAGGATGCTTGATACTGCAGCCTTTAACCTTAACAATCGTGGAGCTGCTGCACATCCACTCATGTTGAAGCACAGAGGAGTGCTGAACGCCGTGGTAAGATCCTCTGGAGTGTGCCAACGGGAGTATATCCTGCAAAGATAAAAACAAAACAGGTTAGTGAATGGCAGTGAATGCAAACGATAGAAGAAAACGACTTGAAGTGTGGTGACGTGATGCTTACCAGCACCACAGAGCCAGGTACCGAACCTTAACCTATACCTAACCTGAACCTGGGGAAAGGCTCTGTGGTGAGGAGGATGCTTGATACTTCAGCCTTTAACCTTAACAATCGTGGAGCTGCTCCACATCCACTCATGTCGAAGCACAGAGTGCTGAACGCCGTGGTGAGATCCTCTGGAGCGTTCCAACGGGAGTATACCCTGCAACGATAAAAACAAAACAGGTTAGTGAATGGCAGTGAATGCAAACGGTAAACGAAAACCACTTCAAAAAGCGGTGAAGTAATGCTTACCAGCACCACAGAGCCAGGTACCGAACCTTAACCTATACCTAACCTGAACCTGGGGAAAGGCTCTGTGGTGAGGAGGATGCTTGATACTGCAGCTTTTAACCTTAACAATCGTGGAGCTGCTCCACATCCACTCATGTTGAAGCACAGAGGAGTGCTGAACGCCGTGGTGAGATCCTATGGAGCGTGCCAACGGGAGTATATCCTGCAAAGATAAAAACAAAACAGGTTAGTGAATGGCAGTGAATGCAAATGGTAAACGAAAACGAGTTGAAGTGCGGTGACGTGATGCTTACCAGCACCACAGAGCCAGGTACCGAACCTTAACCTATACCTAACCTGAACCTGGGGAAAGGCTCTGTGGTGAGGAGGATGCTTGATACTGCAGCCTTTAACCTTAACAATCGTGGAGCTGCTGCACATCCACTCATGTTGAAGCACAGAGGAGTGCTGAACGCCGTGGTGAGATCCTCTGGAGTGTGCCAACGGGAGTATATCCTGCAAAGATAAAAACAAAACAGGTTAGTGAATGGCAGTGAATGCAAACGATAGAAGAAAACGACTTGAAGTGCGGTGACGTGATGCTTACCAGCACCACAGAGCCAGGTACCGAACCTTAACCTATACCTAACCTGAACCTGGGGAAAGGCTCTGTGGTGAGGAGGATGCTTGATACTTCAGCCTTTAACCTTAACAATCGTGGAGCTGCTGCACATCCACTCATGTTGAAGCACAGAGGAGTGCTGAACGCCATGGTGCACGCTTTGAGATCCTCCAGACCTTGCAAAGCAGTTTTGATTATGCCTGCAAAGAGAAAAACAAGCATGGTTAGAGAATGACAGGGATTGAAGCCAAGTTTAGCATCTTAAACAGGTGGAAAACGAAATGACGTGGAAGTATTACTTGAACGAGCAGGTGCAGTTGCTTGGCTAACGTAGCAGAAACTTCCAGGCTCGAGAGAGTTGAACATGCTCCATGATCGATTTGGCCAGGGACGCACGACAGGCTGTGTGAAGGCGACGTGAGATGGTGCTAGGAAGAACAGAAAAGCCAGGTTCGTTTTGCCAAAAATGCTAAGGAGGTTGTCGGAAGCAAGGTCGAAGTTGAAGATGAGCTTAGTGTTCCAGAGTGGTGCTGCAGAATGCTTGGAAATTCGGTTGTGGGTCGGTGGTATCCCACCCGACGTTCTGATGTGATACGAGGTGAAACAGCCTGCGGTTGATATTGCGCCTTGCTGGCACCTAAGGTGGTCCCCAGCATGCCACCGTGGACGATGGTGGAAATACAAATTTGTGGACAACGCTATGATACTAGCTTGTGATTGGACCACCTCAGCTTGAGTACCATCAGGTTGACCCACGTGGCCTGTTTGAATGGCCAGAAAGCCACACGGTTGTTAAGAAGCTGAAACATCGTAGCACGGAACTCAACCAGTGCGGTCCGTTTCCCGAGGCGTGCCGCTGAAAGCCTCAGCATGAGGGTGCATGGAGGAAGAATTGGAGGGAAACCTTTTTCTGTTTAGGACTGGGCCTGACACAACTGGCGGTAGAGAGCAGCGGTGCGCGTGATGTGAGATGGCGTTCCTGGGATGGTGTTCCTGGGATGGCGTTCCTGGGATGTCCTGAGAGAGCTAAGGCATAACGTATCAACCAGACGTGAAGTCACACTGTCACCTAGGGAATTAGTGAGCTGAACGCAAGGGAATCTCCATGCAGGCTAGCGAGGCTGGCCCTTCAGCTGAGTTTCGCCACCTCGCGCAAACATACTCGCTGCAGGTCGCTGAAACCCTGAGTTGGATGGAATGACTTCGCACAATTACCAGGTTGATTCAATGACGAAACCAGATTTCGGCGACGAATTTTATTGGTCATAGATTCGATGGGGCCGCGGCACGTTTGGACAATTGTACTTTCAACGCGGTTGAACACGGTTCGTTTATTTCCCTAAGCTTGGGGCACTTGCCTCACACTTTCTTTGTTCGTCTCAAGCGGTGCACCGAAATCATCCAGGTGCCGATGACGCCTCAATCGCGTACAAATGCTCCATTGTCAACACTCCAGTATACTAGCAGCAGGATGCGCGGGTGTTCGTGCTTCCAGATGGTTCCTTTCCACGCGTGCCTTGCTCCCACCTTACTCAACCGCCGAGCCGCCAAGCCGCCGAGCTGCCGAAATCCATGTACGAGCTCGTCGGTGCGAGGTTATATTTATTTGGAGTCTAGAAATTAAAAGCTTCAGCGAGCGGTTATGCACGGATGTAGGATGCTGCTGCGGCGCATTACGGATGTGCGTGCCGCTGCGATCCGTCATGCATGTGACCACGGAGCATGGCGGATCGCAGCGGAATGGACAAACCGAACAGTGTTCAGCCACGATGTCGCTCGTCCAGTCATCCTCCGCATTCCGCGGCCGCCTCTACATCTGCGACGACGACACGTCGGCGCCAACGCGACGGCGTCAAACGCTGTTCATTCCGCAACAGTGCGACGCATCCTAAACGACACCGCATGCACACTCGCCGAATCTCCGACGCGCGATTCTCCGCCGCAAGAGACGCCAAGTCTGCCGCCCGTTTTGGGCGCGTCACCTCCTTTATCCAGAATGTTAGGCTCGAGGGGATCAATTGTGAGCAGCGCTCGGAAGTAAAAGCGTCGCGCTCTCCCACTCGACGCGCCCCGTGCATGCGACTCCCTCCGTACCCCGCACCTCCTCACCCACTCCGTACGTAGAAAGTAGCACGGCGGCGGCGCCAGGTGGCTATATGAGCTGGAGCGACAAGCCTGTTTCACGTTAGCCGTTCCCTTCCCCTCCGCCTCCGTCTTTCGTCTCTGCCACTGCCTCCGCGGAGTCCCTGCGTCGTTGCACTTTTCTCGGCGGGTTCGCTGCGGCTTCAAGTGCTCTCTCTCTCTCTAAACGCAAATACGACTAGAAGCTACTAGCAGCGCATAGCAGCGTCCGAGATTTTCTACTCTGCTGCTCTCTGCTGCAGCCGCACGGCGCTCCTCCACCACCCCCTCTCCCGCCGGCCAAGTGCGTGCGGAGCTTGTCCGAGCCATCCCCCCTTCCCTCCCCCCCATGGGGTCCGACGCGTGCTTCCAGGGACGGCCGGGCAGCGAAGCAGAGGGGCTGGGCCTGCGCGTGCTCAGTCCTGCTGCGGTGACGGTGACTCTGGCGGACGATGCTTCTCCTGGGGGGCCCAGCAGCGTTTCTGCTGCGGCTTCCCTTCTCAAGCCGTGCAGTGGCAGCTCCAAGGGGGATGTGGTGGCGGGGAAAGAGAGGATGGGGTTAGGCGAGAAGCAGAAGGAGGGTGGTGGTGCGAGGAGTGGTGAGGACGAGGGAGGCTGGGCCAAGTGGCCTGTGAACGGAGTGGAAGGAGTGGAGAACGGTGCTGGAGCAGTGAAAGAACGGTTTCGTTCATCCCCACGTGTGTAACAATCCCTCCAGTGCTGCTACTGGATGCACTTATAACGAGTCTAATGTGCATCCTGCGATTGAAGCACCTGGGTCCCACTACGATTCCGCTGTGCTGAGAATGAACCCCAGGGTACTAGCCAATGGGTTAGAAGCATGAGGTGAATCAGTGAGGGGATGGGGTGAGGATTGTGTGTGCCCACCGTTCTCTCAAAGCTGTGGGAGGAACATGAGCTCACATTTCCGCCTCGCCTCCATCTCCCCTCCCTTGCCCCCAATTCTGCTGCGTCTCCTTGCGGGTGCTTGTGGTGTGCGGTGCAGGTGGCATACCTGGTGCGCATGGCGCTGTGGGTGTACCACCCCGCCAACAACCTCACCATGCCGTGCGCGGCTGACATCGCCGCCCTCTGCCCCAACGCCACCTCCTCCACCACCACCACCACCACCACCATCTCCTCTGCCGTGTCTCATGTGGCGCAGGGGGTGGTGGTGGCAGCGGTGGGGCAGTGCCTGGTGGACCAGCCGCTGGCATGGTAGGGGTTTCAGGAGGTTGACCAGTGCATGTGAGTTGGTGGTCGCCGCGCCACCTTCTGTCATGTGCTGCACTCAACTTGCGAGGCATATTATTGTGTGTGCAGGCATCTGCGTCACCCCTTCTCCCTGCATATCCCGTATTCCTCACTGCCCACCTCGCCACTGGTACCCATCGTTGCCATAGCTCCCATCCCATCCCCCCGCCCCCTTTTTTGCGTTTCTCATGCATCCCCTCTGCTGTCGCCCTCTACGTGCAGCTGGGGGCGTTGGAGCAGCAGCAGCAGCAGCAGGGGGAGGCGGGCAGCGTAGTGCTGACGGGGTGGACGGCGCTGCTGGCAGTGCTGGCGCTCTCCATGCTGCTCATTGGTGCCGGCATCTATGCCCACCACCGCGCCCCACACGTGACTTCTCTAGTTGTGCAGGGAGGTGTCAAGGAGGGGAGTGTGTGACAGATGCTCTGCTTGTGTACCCGTTCCTTTATTGAAGCTGCTTGTTGTGACTCCATGAAAGTAATTCTTTCAGTATACAAATGTCGATATAATCAAACCAGTAACACATAGAAGTAGGCAGCAATCAGCACTTCAGCACTGAATCACTGCCTGATACAAGGAATTCAGTGCAAGTCTGTACGTCTTTCAGGCACCAAGCAGTGTCTGAGAGGCACAAGGCCAGCAAAGCAGTTTGATAATGCAAGCAAGGCACTCAGTGGCAATGCGGCGAGGAATAAGGTCTGCCACTGGCTGTGCCAGCTTGGGACACGGAAAACTAGAGGCAGAAAGGCAGAGCTCCCTGGCCCAAAAGGATGATGGATGATGGCGGGAGCATGATTCATGCCACGGGAGGGTGGGGGAAAGTGCGGCGTGCAGCAGCGCAGGGCCTGTGGGGGTTGTGGGAGAGCAGGTCACTCGTCGTAGGTGCGGCACTCATCAGTGTCAGGGTTCTCCTCGCAGTACTCAATGAGAGGGTCCTCGTAGTCTGCCGGCCCGTACACCACCGCCGTGCGCGACGGCGCATACACCTGGAACGAGTGCGGCCGCCCGTCATGCCACCCCTCCTGCACACACAGCCATGATTACAGTCACAATCAGCCAGTCGATAACAAACAGATGAGCCGAGAGGGGCGAGGTTGAGAGGGGCGATAACAAACGGGAGCGACGAACAGAAGCAAGAGAATGAAGGGGAAGGTGCAAAAAAACGACCGAAAGATTGAAATTCTGGCGTATAATACGCTATTGTATTTTTCGGCCGTTTATAAAGTTTTATAACGCCAAAAAGTGATAATTGGTGCAAAAAAACGGCCGTTTTTTACAGCAGAAATCTTGAAACCAGTTGGTTTACACATATTTTCAAGTATTGGTTCCAACCATGATCCTCGATCGGATGATCCAGCCATGAGGAAGACAAAGGGGATTAATCAGTGGGACTGTAGTAGAACGGTGACTCCGGGGAGGAGTATGAAGAGTCTGGGGGGGAGGAGGAGGGTTGAACGAGCGCAACCTAGACACTTTGTTAGCATTGTATTGCTTTGCTATCCTGGTCAGGAGCGGAGTCGTGTCTACGGTAAAAAAAAAAAAAAGTCACAAAATCTCTAACAAAAAAACGGCCGAGTTTTTCAAATCTGACCGTAAATTACGAGCGTAAAAAACGGACCGTATTTTACTTTTGCCGAAATTTTGCACTGGTTGGAGCCGGATCAAAGGGTAAGGAGGCGATGGAGCCAGCTCGAAGGGTAAGGAGGCGTGGAAAAACAATTGAGACGATTCGAAACCCCATGAGAGGCAGGCGCGGGGGAAGACAGAGGCATGGGGGAAGAGAGAGAGAGAGGCAGGGGGCATACATTGGAGTAGAAGGCGGCGTTGTGGTCGATGCGGTTGTAGCCCCCAAAGCGCCCCTCATCCGAGTCCAGCACCACCTGGTGGCGCGCACACGCACGCAAGCAGGTGGCAGGCAGGGGGTGACAGACATAAAGAAACAGGTGGGTGTGAGGGCACAGGGTGATGACAAGCAGAGCGGGGAGAGCAGGCAGCGATCGACACAGACACATGCGAGATATCTCACGTTGAAGTAGGTAGCACAGGGCGGGAGAAAAGGAGGAAGGGCAGACTCATGCAGGCAACAACAAGGGTGGAGGACGGCAGGATGAGGGGTGGGTGCGGGCGCGGAGGCGGTGACTGACCTTGTACTTGCCGGGTTTGTTGCAGCCGATGCGGTAGTCGGTGTAGGAGTTGCTCCAGTGCAGGTTGAACACAAACACGAGGTCACCACGCTCAAACACGATCAGCTTGTCGCCCTCGTCCTTGCGCGACACGTACTGGTGCTCCGATGATATGAACTGGTGGCACAAGGGGAGGGGGAGAGGGGAAGAGGGAAGGAGGGGCAGGGGGCAAGTGAGATGGGCCACCAAAGACGGAGAGAGGTGGCTTTTCAAGTTGGCGTCACATTCCCTCTAACTGAACGTCTCCCTACCCTAACCACTGCACCTTGCGCTTCTCCTTCCCCACCCACTCCATCTAGCACCTCTCCCCGCCTCACCAAGCACCTCTTCCACCCCCCGTCCCCCTGGCACCTCTCTGCCCCTCAAGCACACCTTGTACTTCTCCTCGAGCTGCTGCATGGCCTGGTCGAAGTCGTTGAGCCCCTTGTACCGCAGGTACGCCGCGTCCGCCAGGTCAAAGCGCCGCCGGCACAGGTGGTAGCTGCCGCCGTTGCCCGGGATAAACTTGCCCGCCGGGGTCGTGAAGTCCCACCGCGGGAAGTCAATCCACTCTGCAGCGCCGTACCATGCCATGCCACGCCAAGTCCCCAAACGCGGGCACACAAACAATCCATATCACAAAAGCAAGGGGTAAGACGAATGAGGAACGTACGAACCATAGCATTTTTCTGTTTTTCAATGTCAAAATCATGTTCAGCCAACGGCCCTCTGCATTCCCACCAGCTTGATCCCTTGAAGCACGCACACCCCTCCCCCTGCACCAGAGAGCAAGGCAGCGTACCGGGGTGGCCGAACTCGTTGCCCATGAAGTTGAGGTAGCCCTCGCCGCCCAGCGCCATGGTGAGCAGCCGAATCATCTTGTGCAGCGCAATGCCGCGGTCCACGCGCGGCGTGGAGGGCCCATCGAGGGCCATGAAGTCGTACATGTCCTTGTCCATGAGCCAGAACGCAATGGTCTTGTCGCCCACCAGCGCCTGGTCGTGGCTCTCCGCATACGCGATCGACTTCTCCATCCACCGCCGGTTGGTCAGCGTGTGCACTATGTCCCCCATCTGCCACTGCTCGTCTGACTGCCTGCCACGGGGGCACAGCAGCAGCAGCAGCAGCAGCAGCAGTGGTGGAAGTCGGGGGGACATATAGGGAGAAGGCAGAATGAGGTGGGGCATGCACGAAAAAGCCGTGCAAAATGCACCACTGCGCACACTAGGTGACAGGAGAGGTGAGAGGTGACAGGAAAGCGCCGTGGACACTAGAACCAAGAGTGAGACTCACTCGGAGAGCAGCTCGATCCACTTGTCAGCGATGGCCATCTGCAGGCGGTAGTCAAAGCCCACGCCGCCCCACGCGACGGGCTGGCACAGCGTGGGCATGCCGCTGACGTCCTCGGCGATGGTGACGCAGTCGGGGTAGAGCCCGTGCATCATGTCGTTGGCCGTCATCAGGTATGCCATGGCCTCCACGTCCGTGGCGAACCCAAAGTACTCCTCGTAGTTGCCCGTGAACGCCATCTGTGAGTGGGGAGGGGTGCAGAGAGTGAGAGAAAGGATATGTGTATGGTGCATCCATGATGCATGGTGAACGGCGCATGGCGCATGCGCGTGGTGCACGGTGGGTGCTGCACGGTGGGTGGTGCATGGTGGATGGTGCATGCAGCATGGCACATGGTGAAAGACGCATGGCACATGGAGCAGCATGACGCACCTGCAGGCCGTGGTGCGTGTACATCATGGAGGTGACGCCATCGAATCGGAACCCGTCGAACTTGTACTCTTCGAGCCACCAGCGCAGGTTGGAGAGCAGGAAGCGCACGACCTCCCAGTGGCCGTAGTTGAAGAGGCGCGAGTCCCACATCCAGTGGTACCCGCGCTCGCCCGAGTGGAAGTACTGCCCGTCCGTGCCGTCAAACATGTTCAGCCCGTCCAACACGTTGTTCGACGCGTGGCTGTTGTGCGCCCACGGAGGCCATGGTGGTGATGGTGGAGGGGGAGGAGAGGAGGGGGAAACGTGCGAGGGAGGAGAACGTGCGAGATCGTGTCAGCAGCACGTCCGTTCGTTCAAGTCCGTTCAGTCTGGCTGCTTCACGTGCTTGAGGAGGAAGGGGGGCGGAGCGGAGGGGGCACGAGAGTGCAGGTAGTGGCAGTGCCCCAACAAGGGTGGCCGTGGCGGTTCAGCAGCAAGCTGGATACAGTGATGCGCGTGCGCACAGGCATGACTGTACGTGCACTCGCGCACACCCACGTTCCCGCTCCCTCTTGCATGGCAACATTCTCACAACCTGCCTTAGCACACAAAACACACATCCCCATGCCCCGCCCACCTGTATGCGCAGTGCGCCATCCCAATCAGCCTGCGTGTGCGCGCAGTAAACAACCCACCCCCCACCCACCTGTGCACGCAGTCCATGAGCACGACGATGCCCATGCCGTGCGCCGCGTCAATGAGGCTCTTCAGCTCGTCGGGCGTGCCGCACCGGCTGCTCACCGCGAAGAAGTTGGTCACGTGGTACCTGCGGGCGGGGGGGGAGAAGGCACGGGCGACGCGCGGCGGGCGGATGCGGGCGGGCGGCGCAGAGGGAGGGATGATCATGTGAGAGATGGGGGGATGCGCATCGCGATGGCGAGGATCAAGCGGAGCAGCGGAGCGGTGGGATGGGCCGTGGATGCAAGCACGCAACGAGGTCGAAAATGCGGGAGGGACAGCGGGAGCGGGCGTGGGCCGACAGAACCGAACAAGCCGTAAAACGCGTGAAAGGGAGGTGAAAGAGCGCGAAGGGGGGAACGGGGCGACGCACCCGAAGGAGCCGTAGTAGGCGTGTTCCTGGATGGCCATGAGCTGGATGGCGTTGTACCCCAGATCGCGCACGCGCGGCAACACGTTGTCGCGGAACTCCGCGTACGTGCTCACTCGCGGCTCCTGTTAGCGCACGACGCAATAACGCGGATGAGACAAACTGAGAAGTGGCAAGATGGAGAGCTGGCAGTTGAGTGCCAGGAGGCCTAGATGAACTGCCGGAGGTGACGCGCAATGGGGGAGAGACGGAAAGGAGGCGCGGAAAGCAGAGGAAAGAAGGCGGAACAGGAGGCGCGGAGGAAGGGCTACCGGGGGAAGAAGGGGGGAGGGGAAGGGGAGTGGGGGGACGTACAGTGCTGCTCATGCCCACGTGCGCCTCGTAGATGCGCAGCGCTCTGGGTCGCTTGGGGCGCGCATTCTTCCACACGTGGCGCTCCTGCGGGCGAGCGCACGGGGGGGAACGGTGGACGACAAGTCAGGCGCGGTGCGCGACACAGCAAGCGCCGTGAAAAGGCCGCGAGAGCGGTCAGCGAGCAGCGCGGAGTCAGAGAAGCAGACGCTTGGAGAATTTGCCAGTCATATGGATGACCAAATTCGCATGCAGGATGGCGGTGGAGACGCTGAGCGGCGGGGCTGACCTGCGGAGGCGGGTCGTAGTAGATGCCGTTGTAGGGGATCTCGCCCGGCGCCTGCACGGCGAACTTGATCCACGCCGGAATCGCGTCCTTCCACCCCGACGGCGTGTCCATGTGGATCTGAATGCCATGTCATGGAAAGAAATCCACGTGTCATCGATGCAGGAAAACGCTAGCCACGGGAGACCTCATACGGGCAGGCAATACTGAGTGAATACTAGTAAGGCCGTTTTATACCCGCACGGCGCATGTGCATCGCAATGCCGAGCACAAGGCGTTGGATGCAGAGCTTTCGTTGTTTCCGCCAGCGGCTATACGTGAGTTGATGCCAACATTCGCTACAAGAAATCTGGCTCACGTGACGCGCTGTGTGTCGCGCTGTTAACCACATGTGATGCATCCTTTTACAGTCACACTCACTGACCTTGACGCGGGAGCCGTGGGGAATGGCGGGGGTGCCATCGGGGTTGTCGGGCAGGAAGAGCTCCCACACGCCGAACTCGTCCTGCCACACGCAAACGCGCACCACCAGCACCCGAAACAGACACTCGGAAACCGTTACTGATTCCGTCAAATCGCAGCAAGCAAGCGTTGAGGGCAACAGAGTGAGGAGGGGCGGACCTTCTTCATGATGTCGGCGTTGGGGTTCCAGTTGTTGAAGTCGCCGATCAGCGACGCCGACTGCCCCACACACCCACAACCACGCGCACGCACACGCCCACATCGCCGTCAGCTTGAATGCGTAAAAGAAAACAACGTCAAACAGGATGCGGAAAAGCTTGCAGTTAACTTACATAAGCGCCGGGAGCCCACTCGCGGTACACGATGCCGTTGTGCCTGCGCAGATTGAACGGGACGCGTTCACAATGCCATTTAAGACGAAACGAATTCATATTAGAGCGGTCGGCTCGCGGCAAAACAACGGCGACGCGATGGCGAGAACGAGCGGCTTACACTCGGTTGAAGCCGAACTTCTCGTAGCCGCGGGAGAACTTCTCCAGCCCGCCCTCGTGCTGGTCGATCTCCCACCGCAGCTTCTTGTACTGCCCGAAGCTGCGCACGGAGGACAAGGTGGCGTTGCCGGTGGAATGTAAACGGGCGCGAAATAAGCATGGCCTACGTGCGCGATTCACACCCCAATATACGATGAAAAAAAGAAAAGGCAACGCCTTGGTTCACCCGGTACTATCCGTGGCTACGGTGGTTTCTGGTATTCCAGGTGGAAGTGCCGATCGGTAATAAATGACGTACACGCGATGCCTACCGGTACTATCGAAGTACATGCGGTGCGTACCGGTACTCGAGGTGGATGCGGTGTGCGTTGAGGTACTCGTCGGTCTCAAAGATCTTCTTGCCCTCGCCCGGCGGCGGCACCACTTTGGGCCCCTCCTGCGTGAAGATCATCTGCTCGCGCAGCTTCGCGTTCTCCTCCCGCAGAGCCTGCGCCACGCCGACACAAAACGCATGCGCTGTCAGTGCGTGTGCTGGAGAAAAAAGATACTCGCTTGCGGAATTTGAGGCGAACCATTGGGTGTCTAAAGGTGTGGGTCTGACGGCTAAGACGGTATATGCGGACCTTAATCTGCGCTTCAATGACTTCCGCTTCCGCCTCCAAGTCCCCCACTGCCAGCTCCGAGCCCCCGTCCTTCGCGGCCTGAGCGGCCACGCGGAGCCGGCGGCTGCTGTCATCAGTCCACGTCAGCTTCGCCTGACGATGCCGCGAGGCCCTTTGCCTGAGTTGGAATCGTGCGGAAATCTGACAGATTCTCGCATTGCCTGCACGGAAGAAAGATGGATCTGAGTGAGATTGAGAGAAATCAAATATGCTGCTTTCGAGCTTGGATGCCTGCAATCATGAAAGAAAGCGAATATTTGGAAGGAGGTCACACCTCCAAGGAAGGGGCTCCGGCTTGAAGTAATTTTATGGCCTGATAAAAGCCGAGAAGCCGACGGCGCGGAGACGGTGGTCGCCATGGCTGCACAGCTAGAGATTCAGAATGAATTCCACCTAATGCTGCCTTGAATACATTCCCAATCAGACCGAAGGCCAGCCGGATGAAGGGTGAGGGAGGGGGAAAAGGGCGGTGGTAGGCGGAGCCAGGCAGGCGAAAGGGAGGGCGGAGAGGAGATCGGGCTGTGGCTGGTGCGCATTGCAACGCAGCCCTGCTGCGGAGAGAATTACTGTAGAACCTTGGTCGGTGATTCATTCTTACTCGCGTGGCCTTGAATTACTCGAGTGGCCACCAAATTTGGTGATAATTACTCGAGTGGCCACGCCAGGGGATTCCCGCTGGTCTGTTTTTACCCGGCGCATTACCCTACAAGAGTTTGTATCCCCGAAACCTCTGTACTGATTAATGCGCGATCTTCAATATCCAAATTTTACGATCGTGACCCCATATGACCGCGCCTGATTGGACGCGCATTGCAATTAACCAATCATGCGCGGTCATTAAATGTCCAGCGCATTGACGCCCGGGCATTGCAGTTTATGATCGCGGAAATATATGATCGGGCATTTATATATGATGTGCCCGACTTAATGACCGCGCATGATTGGTCGACTATATGCGCGTCCAATCAGGCGCGGTCATATAGAGTCACGAACATAAATTTCGAATATAAATCATCACGCGAAAACATCCATTATAAATCATCGCGTAAATTGAAAATCGCGCAATTATCAATACAGAGGTTTCGGGGGTACGAACCCTTGTAGGGCAATGCGCCGGGAAAACAAAGCCAGCGGAAATCCCCTGGCGTGGCCACTCGAGTAATTATCTCCAGATCTGGTGGCCACTCCAGTAATTCGAGGCCACGCGAGTAAGAATGAATCACCGACCCAGGTTCTACAGTAATTCTCTCCCTGCTGCGCTTCCAGCTTCGTTGTGCAGGTCCGCGAACATCCTTCCGAACCCACCCAACTCATGTGGCTCCAAGACCACCAAGAGCTTGCCACGTCGGCAACGGGCTAAGCATCAAATGACCTCCCGTTTCAATCTCGAAGGGGCTGTGGGTCGTGTCTCGTGACTTCGGTATCGAGCCGTAACACCTGTGGAGTGGAAAGAAAACAGGGGTTTCCTCAGAGGTTGCTTGTTGCCAAAACACTGTGGAACCGGATGTGACTCATTTCTCCCACCCCCACCACAACCATATACCAGTTGAGGGTAGAAAGAAAGAAGCACCACCCATCCTCGAATTCCTCCGTTTTCATCTGCCCGAAATATTTGATCCACAAAAGAGTCCCACATGCCTTCGAAATGTTCAGAATGACGTATAAAAGTGAGATGAAAACTAGTTCCACCAATGCAGTTGCGACAACAAGGCAGGAGAACATGCCAGGCTGGCCATAGTGAGTTGAAGCTCGAAACCAGCTCGTCTATTGAGTGTTTCGTCACATACATATAGATGAAGATTTGTTGTCCATCTTGATACCGTTATATATTTTTATTTGTTTTCTCCAATTGCAGGTATTTGTGACAGCATAAGCATGTGATAAGCCACCTGCTTGGGTCGAGAAATGGCGTAGAACCAGGCCAATCAGCAAGAACCAACAAGCCTCCACCTACTCTGCACGCAAGTGACTCTTCACTTCACCGTTTCACGTAACACCCACCTCCTTGTGTTACGGATCGCGCGGCTCCCTGCAGTGTACTGTACCACCGGGAGCATGCAGTTGTTGACGTTCATCCCCCCACCAGCAACCTACAGGCAGACAATCAATCCCACAGAAACTGCCGAGGAACACTTCGCCCAATTATTTGCAATTAGCTCCTGGTTTTTTTGCAACGGCCTTCACAAACTCCATTTTAGGGTTTTCTTGCCAGGACCGGACAGCAGTTGTCAAGCAGAAGTCGCTAATGTTGTGATTGGAGCGATTCTCTGCAGTACTTTCTAGTGCCTATTCGCCGTACTCCTAGTTACGTCTCATCCGCTTCGTATTAAGACGGAACTGTCGATTCATCGTAGCTTGGAAACATTGATTAGCATTGGCAGTGTTGCAGCTCTATGGCCGTTTCGCTAGTGGGAATGATTGTACAAAGTCGTCTATTTATACGTAGTGGGTAGTTTAGAGTTTATATTTGGAGCATTTATTCGTTGGGAAGCCATGGACCGGTCAGTGTTGGATCGACCCGCGATAGATCGTCGGATGATGCTGCTCAGCCGCAGCCGCCGTGAGCACGACGGAGATTCCGATTCTGAGGAAGCGTATTCAGTTGGAAGAGATGACGTGGATCGTTCTGATTCGCTCAGCCGGGCCTTCGCTCAGGTCAGACACCAGCAGGCGGCTAACATCCCAGTAGACGACATATTTGACCTGCTTCGCGACCATGCGACAAAGCATCTCAAAAGCGTGCGGTCCTGTGCAGTCCTGACCCAATGAAATGCCTGCGCTTCGTTGCTATCTCGAAAGGGATAATTGGCCCGGTGTGCGTTTCTGGGTATGCTCGTGTGTGCGCTCGAACGTTCGTGTCTGGTTCGTGCGTTCCTTTTCCCCAATGCTGCCAGCAAGCGAACGTGGGGGACTACCGGGGAAGAGGAGGGGAGTCGCGGCAAGTGCGGGAAGAGGAGGAGGAGGACGAGGACGAGGAGGAATACACCGTGGAGGTGTGGGACGCGCTTGACTCGCTAGAGCAGGTAACGGGGTGGGTGGAGGGAGGAGCATGGGCATGCCAGGAGCAGGAGAGCGAGATTGTGCGTGGAGATGTGAGAGTGGAACACCGGTGAACGCATGGGGCCGCACCCGCAGTGTGCCTCAAGCACCCCCGCTCAAGCCGCAAATGTGTGCTTGCTCACCCCCGCTCGTTGCCTCGCCCTCGTCCTCCCTTCCGTCTCCGCACTCTTATCAATGTCCGCCATTCCCTTCTCCCCCCTCCCCAACCCCTCCCGCGCTTCCCCACGGTCCTCGACCCCACGGCGTCCCCATGCGCGCGTGCGGCAGTTAAAGCCCATCATCGCGTCGGGCCCGCGGTGGAAGCTCGAGGAGTTTCTACGAGCCATCGACATCCTCCAGGTGCGCTCGCACGCCCGCATGCTGCTGCAGGCACGCTCTCATGCTGCTACAGCTACGCTCGCATGCAATGGCCTGTGTGGTTCGACGGAATAGTGCGCCATAATTTCCCGTGCTCTGCTTTCTTTCCCCCCCCCCTCCAATTCCCCCGCCCCACCCTCCCCTTTCCGACGGCGCGCAGGAGATGGCGGAGTTCTTTGAGCGCAACGAGTGCGCGTCGGGCGTGCGCGAGTGCGAGAAGTACATGGCGGTCGCCATGGACCACCTCGTCGACGAGTTCCGCGACGCGCTCGTCAAAATCAGGTGCGCGCGCACGCACGCATGCACGCACGCATGCACGTGGGCGACTGAGATCGCAATGGAGCAGGGGATTGCAATAGGGAGGGACAGGAGGCGCACATGAATGAATGAGGTGGGGTGGAGTGCAGCAAGCGTGCGAGCGAGTGCAACGGGTTTGAGCTGGTGAGAAACGCCTCCACGCTGTTACCCCACGTTGTTCCCACCACACCCACTTCCCTCCCTCCCCCCATCCCCGCGCACGGCCCTGTGGCTCGGCGCGCAGCAAGCCGTTGCCAGCAGCCATGCTGCGCGAGGTGGCCATGTCAGCGCACGCGGGCCGCCTCGTCGACCAGCACCAGGGCGGCGCTGCTGCCGCCGCCGCCGCCGTGCTGGCGGGCGCGGCGGGCCCGGGCGTGCCGCGCACGTCCACGGGGTCGTCGTCCGCGTCGTCGCACCTGCCCACGTCGCGCTCGCGCACAGCCAACACCACCTCGTCGCCCGACTCGTCGGGGTCGTCGTCGCCCGTGGGGGGCGGGGGGTCCGCCATGGCGCACGCGGTGTCGGCCGCCACGCACCTGGCGCTGCAGGACTGGCTGTCCGCCAGCGCCGTGCCCTTCCTGCACCGCATGGCCGTCAAGCTCGCGCAGGGTGGCGAGTCGCAGCGCTGCATGCAGCAATACGTGTGAGCACTGACAAGAATGATTTCCGTCGCCTGTCACTTTTGCTTCCTATTAATCCTCCTCTTTTCCTCCTTCCTATCATCCCCCCACTGTTCTTCCTTGGCCACTTTTCCTGTCTGCTTCCCTCTCTAACCCTCCGTACCCGCCCTCTTCCTCCATCCCCTGCCTTCACTCTCCCGCAACTCTTACCCCTTCCCCCCTTATTCCCACGGGCAGCAAGGTGCGGGCGGAGGCCATTCAGCGGAGTGTAGATGCGCTGGACATCAAGAGAGTGCTGACGACATCACTGGAGGAGATGACGTGGCAGCAGCTGGAGGCGCTAATGAAGGGATGGGTCACGGACATGCGAGCCATGGTGGGTCACGGACATGCGAGCCATGGTGGGCAGGGCGTGGGGCGTGGAGCTGGGCTTGGGGCTGGGGACTGGCTCGGACTTGGGGCTGGGGACTGGCTCGGACTTGGGGCTGGGGACTGGCTCGGACTTGGGGCTGGGGACTGGCTCGGACTTGGGGCTGGGGACTGGCTCGGACTTGGGGCTGGGGACTGGCTCGGACTTGGGGCTGGGGACTGGCTCGGACTTGGGGCTGGGGACTGGCTCGGACTTGGGGCTGGGGCAGGGGTTGAGGATGGAGGTGGTGTGATCCATGATGTGGGAAAGACGTGCCTCTCTTGAGCGACTGCTGCGGGCGTGACTGCCTGCATGGTTCTGTGCCGTTTCCTCCCTCTCACACGCCCCTACCTCTCCTCTCTGCCGTGCCTGCCACTGACACTGCAGGTGTTGGTGCTGCTGGGCAGCGAGCGCGTGCTGTGTGACGAGATATTCGACTCCCTCGAACCCGACAGAGAGCTCTGCTACCTCTCCCTCATTCAGGTGACCCCTGCTTCCTCCCACCCCAATCTCTTCGCAAGTCTGTTCCAGATGTCTCCCCACCATCGTGTTTGCCTAAAATCTCCCTTATTCACCCTTAACAAGCCCTATCCCACCTCCCCCGTTCCCCCTCTCCCCATTTCTGCGCGCAGGCGAGTGGGTTGGCGGCGACGGTGGAGGCGGTGGTGAGCAACGGGCGGGTGGTGGCGTCGGGGCGCAACACACCGGAGCGCCTCTTTGCGCTGCTCGACATGTTCACCACCGGCCGCGAGCTGCGCGCTCAGGTGGGGGGGGGGGAGGAGCGGGGGGGGGG